AGCTCTGTACTGCAAATATAACAGTTTTCCTTTAGAGTTTTGGTGAACTTTTAGTTAATATTTGTTGTGAAAATGTTGATTTAATATAATCTATAAACATGATAAGCTTATTATTATTTATAAATAACATTATATACTTTCTCAGCGCTTTTCCTTTAGTTATAATGTAAGCTATCTTTTTTATTTTTTGCATGTTCTTCTAGGGCAGTAGTTTGCTTTTGTAGGCATAGAGTTTTTTAATTCCATTTATATAAAACATGCTCAGAAAGATCATTAGACTGATTTGATACCATTCTGCCGCTTTAATAAATCGCTTTCTGCCGCAATAGCCGCTTTAATAAATCGATTAATTAACATTTTAATAGAAACGATGTTAATTAATCGATGTTATTTAATTGTTATTTTAAATTGTAATAAAAAATGTGTGATATATTCATTTTAACAAGGTTTCGTGTAAAAGCAACCAAACGCTTGCTAGCCTATATTCGCTAAGCGAGGCATTGGCATCACTGTTGCAATCTGTGCATAGAAATCAAACAACCCACATTTTTTGAAAAAATTAAATAAGATAAATGTTACTTTTAATAATTAACATGTTTCTCCATAATTTTTCAAATATTTTTATATGCTTCATTTTTTGCTTTTTCCCAATTTTCAATGAAATTTTTGAATTTTGTTTACATATGATATTTGACATATGAGGTCTGTTCCACGAGCTACTCATAGTAACTTTGAGTAATAATACTTTACTTGCGTTTTACTACGAGTAACTCGTGGAACAGGCCTATGATTGCAATATTCGTTGGAATTTCCAATGAAGGTTCACAATAGTTCGCTTATTGCATTGGTAACACTTTTTTCTTTACTGGTCGAGGTGTTTGGCCACTTCACAACTAAATGCTTAGACAGAGAAGGTTGTGTTGTTGTTGCCACACGTGCGAGCCACCGAAAAAGTCTAATGCTGATAATGATAAAATTGTAAAAGATTCATGAATGATGAATTAATAAAACTTAATTTATCATTATTGCCGTATAAATATGAACGTATGTATTTATTTGTGCGACCCTCAAACCTATTCAGTGATTTGTATTGGCTCGCGATCTTATATTGCCTGGACAGCCCTGATCTACACTATGAAGAATATCTCCAATTTCTGTTTTGTACATGTAAGGTTTTTATTGTGATTCATATTTTTTCTCTGCTCTATTTTCTAATCTGAGCAGAAGATAATTTATAGAATTTAATAAAATAGTTGTGATTTTTTAAATGATTAAGCTTTAATTCACTGAATATATTTTAGTATATACTCAAGAGTAATCAATTTATAATGAATTAGCTTTAGTTGATTTTCTTGTTAAAGCTATTACTATCCAAAAAGCAATGGAATGCACTAGGTTCGTTTACGAACTTCGTGAAATTTATCTGAGACACAGTCCGTTCCAGATCCTATGAAGCTTTTTCCATAAAAATTCATAGTGTAGTGACAAATTCAAGGGAATGATGGAAGACAAGCGGTACTTAATTGAAGATTTTCTCAAATGAAGTAGCTGTGTGCGTTTCGTGCCAAACACTGACAGAGAATCAAAAAGACTAAAGATATAAGCATTGCAAAGACATTAAAAATGTCCTAAATGAATTTGCCAAGCATATCTGCCGTTAAATTTGGTAATGAAACATTAACACGACAAAATCTAGAAATTAAATATCATTTTATTTGATTCAAAAAGAATTGTTCACCGTCACCATGTGAATTATTCGTTGCAGATGTACCATTCGTTTACTGATGTAAATGTTAAATATCTGTGAGTATAAAATGGAAAGGAATAAAAAATTTAAATTAAGTAATACAAAAGTTTTTGAGAAAATTTTGTGACCTTGTGCCCCAAAGATCAATTAAGCCAAAATAATGACCCATTGTCACTTTATCAGTTCACTTAAAGAAGGAGCGTCAGATTTTGAATCTGAGGCGTCTGAATCATCCGTTTTGAGCACTAACGGATGAGGTGGAGCTAAGCTTCCTTCACATCTACAAAGCCACAACACCTACAAAAGATGTAAGAGAAGTCTTAATGTATGTCTTTCTAATAATATGTCAAAATAGACATAGTAGTACTTAGTTGATTCCGCTTGAGTTAAAGCAGCTGACTGGCACTGGTTTTATTCACTTCGGATTAGGTGAGTCTTGTGATCTGACTATAATTTTCATCTGCCCAGGATAGTTTGGAGAAAAGACAGCTTGGCCTTTTTAAAAGTGACCAATATCAGCGAAGTAAATTCCAGAGAGCGGAATTTACCGGAGAGAAAGAGAGAGAAACAGGAAATATTCTCTCGCTGATTTCCCACAGGACTGGATAACAAACAAATAACGTAAATCGAGCTTATAGGAAGGTGGAGTATAAAGATCCAGTGCATTGGAGTACGGTCATTCCTCTCACTTTGTTGCGTAGCGTTAGATAATTAGCATTTACAGATTCGTGTCATTAAAAAATAGTAATACATATATGGAATGATGTTTTCAATAAGTAGTGTGTTCAGCGAAATTTTTCACAAAAGAGGAGCAAAGCGCTTTACGAGATTAAACACTTACTATAATGGAGTGATTCTGGTTTTAAATAGTATCTCAACAAAATAGACGAAATTCGCGTCTGGGTTAAAACTTGAGAAAGATTGTTTGGTATCGTTTAAGTAAAAATTATGTAAACATTTAATACTTATAGGATTTTTCAATTCGATCTAGCAAATAATGAAAGAATTATATCCTTTTTCAGTTTGAACACATTATTTAGTAGAAACAATATTACTGATTATTTTGCAATTTGCCTGGAGTAAAAAAATGTCTTTCAGCATAGAAAATAACAAATACACAATCTATTCAAGACAATCAATCTATATGTGGTCTAGACATTGGTATTCTTAGATAAAATAAAATTTGTAACTTCTTTTTTGAAAATGACATCTTTTTCACTTACTATTCTCATTCTTCTTTATGAGAATTCTTCACTTAAGAATTAAGTGACTAATCCTCCTTGACCTTTTTTTAGGTTTTTATATTAAATTAACAGTTGTAAACAATTCGTTGCGACAGGATAAAACTGTTTATTTTACGTGTATATCTGTTTACAGACATTCTGTGCTATTTATTATTTCAGACGATATTATTAGGACTAAAATGTCTCATCAGGATTTAATAGTTTTTGTGTCTTTATAGCCTTCATAGTTCAATAAGCTATTTTTCTTATACAGCTCGACGATAATAATCAATCTAGCCCTGTCCCTCTATCCACTTTTCTGTCCGCTTGTCTATCTGTCCGATAAATCTAAGTTAAATAACTAAAATCGCTTAAATTTTGTGGAAACAAACTTTGAATATTTGTTATATTGAAAAAGATCACCCGAATATGTTCTACATTGGCACAATATATAAGCAATTAAACTTGATCTGAAATATCACCATTGACCATTATTTTTAAAAATAGACCTTAACTTCTTAACTTCAGGGGTTATTGTAATGTATGTAGTTGCCATTTGAATATGAACATTTGGGTAAGTATAAAGTTAAGATAATTTAAAGCTCCACAGAGGCATTGCTAGGCTTCTTGCTTCATTTTTCTTAAAACAATCAAAAAAATTTGCATTTTAACTTTACGATTTTTTTGAATGTTTGGGGCTTTTAGAAGAAGAATACTTTACAAATACATATGTATATACATAACATATATCATAAACAAATATCGACGCTGCATTACGTTTGGTCTTATTGAAAAAAGTACATGAAATAATTTTGAATATTTGAAATAAATTTTTGGTAGAAGCAAAAAGTATAGCGTATGCAGAAAATATAAAATTTTGAATTACTTAAAAAAAATAAAATATAGTAGGTATTATATGAAGCAGACATATCTATTACAAATCTATATACATACATATACATATATATGTATGTGCGAAGACCTTGTTTATTTCATTCAAACATTTTGGTTTCATTTGCTTGCGTTGCTCCACGTTAAAGTAGTGGTTACAATGGCTCGTGTGTCATGTCTTATACTTAACTTCAAAAGGTAGTTTATATTGTATTAGACATAACTTCTTCTTTCAGAGTAGCATAAAAAATACTCGTAACTTACTAAAGCAAACACGTGAAGCAACAACAATACTCTTAAAATCTTCAGAGTTGGATTTTACCGCAACAATTTTTACGTCTTAAGTTTTAGTGCAGCCAAATTCAAAAATCAGTCTATTGTGAATGTTAATTGATATGAGCATTTCATATGAGTATTTCATTTACTAATAAATTTAAATACATAAATAAATAAATTAATTTAAATATATAAGATAGGAATGGTCACAATTTAGCTGCTAATATTTATTTTATTTCTTTTATTTAAATTGATTAATTTTTAGTGTTTGTGAAAAAAAAATCGCGGCTATTATCACATTTATTCATAGAAAATAATTTATTACAAAATAAAATATGTAATATATAATTTTTTTGAATACATATAAACCAAACAGGTATCGTATTGTTTTACAGGTATCGTAAAATTGTTTTAATCATTTCAATAAAAGGTAGTTTGAAGTTATTTTTTTGTTGTGTTTAAAAATAAACATTGAAATTTTATTTTAACAAATAAAAATTAAACATTTTAGTTTAATATATAATGTTTAAAAGAAACACATCCTAATATTATATTTAAAATTCATAGAATATATTTTTATTATGGATAAGAGAAGTTTTATGTACTATTTCTATATTGTTATCAAAAGGCAAATTATTGTTTAAAATAGACAATATCGTATATGGAAGTGTAAAACAATAACTGCTTTGTACATTTCACAATTGTCAAAATTGATTTCATAATACATTTTCCATTTTTATACATTAACAGTATTTGTGAAAGAATTATATATTGCAGTGCAAAATTATTGGCATCAAGACTTCATTGGAATTGATGCTTTATTATTTTTACTGTCTAATTTCATAATTGCATGAAGCGGTGTGGGAGTGAAAAGACTATATTAGCAGAAATGCAAACGTAAACAGTCTGAGCATATTCAAATGTGTGTATACTAGGAAAAATTTCGTCAAAGTTAAGGATTTCGTGTCTGAATTTGAAATTTACAATTATTATAAAAACGTAAACCGTGTGCTTCTTAAAATAATCTCTTAATGTGGGATTCATTTAATTTGGTATGTAAACTTTGAAATACAACATAATACATATCTAAAACATGTACTCACTATTTACACTAGTGGTTCTTTTTGCAATTTATTTTAGTATACATACAGAATTTATTCGGCAGGTGTTGCCAAACTCGAATAGAATAAGCATGAATCATATATTTTATAAATCTTTGTTTAGACTTTATTAAATTAGAGATCAATCTGCAATGCTTAAAATTCTAGGTGATTGGGTTGGAAAGCTCAGATTTAAAAATCAATGCTAATTATTTAAAGATGTAGTTAGAAAAAAGAGTCTGTGATGTTTTGGATTATATTTATATATCTACATTGATATATATGTTGACATTACTAAAGACAAAACATTGTTTGTCTAAGCAATTTTTTTATTTTATAAAATTAAAATTAAAAGTTAAAAGTTAAAAATTAAAAGTTAAAAATAAAATTTCAGTAAAAATAAAAAATATTTTTAACCTGAACATATAATAAAATCTTTTTTCTTCCATATGTCGATATAAATGCAAAATTATATGCGAAATAATGATAGCCGTCGTGGACAAATCATAATATTCTTTTGCTATGCCATCAATCTAAAATAATATGTATATATACATCAAAAATTAAAATCTTTACATATTAGATTGGAGTCTCTCAATAGCATTTTAGATATTTGCAATCTGATAGTTAATGTTCTAGTTTGATAGACAGCTATTCAACAGTAATTCTTTTAAAAACACGTAGAGTGCCAATTATTTGTTGACTGAATGAAAATGTATAATAATTTTTTCTTCAGTTCACATTTATATTAAGCTTTATTATTATTGTTCGTATAAAAAAGTAGGATGTGTTGTCGTTCTATTGTTAAACAAATACATTACTTGTGCTTGAAAGTATAATTCAAAGCTTCCTAAATAATGTACACAACCGGTTAAATGAAGCCGTTTATAATAAATTATACTTATAATGTAAAATGTTCTATAATCTTAGTTTGTTATATATGTTTTATTATTAATATTATATTCTTGTTGTGTTTTTAAACAGACTTATTTATGTAAATCTATTATTAAATTTATAGTTAAAATCAATACAATATTGATTAAAACAGTGAAATATTTTTTCCGATATGCATATGTGCTTTAAATGTTTTTGTCATACTACGTACAGTGTCATGGGCTCGTCAAAATTGTTTTTTTGGGCTTGGACGCAAAGGCATATTGTGTAGAGTGTCACAGAAATTGTAGTAATTTGCTTGTGAAGGTGCATCCAAACCAAAGCAAACGAACTTTTGCAGGGAATATTCGTTCGTTCGCAAGCGTTGCTTTGGTGTAGATGCACTTTCACAAGCAAATTACACAGTTGTTGCGAACCGACATGTTTTTTCTTTTATTTTTAATTTTATGATTTGCATTGAAAACAACAATTTTGCTTATGAGGAGTCTATTACACTCTATATAACATGGCCTTTATCGACTTTGTTTTCCATTTGTAGGAAATTTAACAGTGTTACCATTTTAGCAAAAGGAAAAAATTCCCAAATGATATATGATTTCTTTAATGATCTCAGCGTGCATTCATATAAAAATGTTATCCTGTTGCATAAAATTTTATCTGCTAAAATTAAATAACAAAGGAAAAAATTTATATTGGTGGTACTAGTTTCACTACTGTCAGTCAGAACGGATATTAATTTAATAATATTTAAGCATTGTTACATGTTGTTAACAATCTATATAGAATAGCGAACTGTAGCAAAATAATATTGTTTTGTGTTTTTACAGTATATTTATAAATATGTACTGTTGTGGTGAACGTGACAAGTGGGTTTGAAATTTCGCCAAAGTGAACAAGGGTGGCAATCCTTAAGCACATGTATGTTTCATTTCAGTTCATTTCATTTCATTTGTGCTCTTTGAATTTTTTGTTTACTTCTTTTTTGTTTGTGATCGTTCTGTGAAATTAAACTGGAGAATTTGCATTTAAAAACAAGCGAATTTGTTTGCAAAATTACTTGAAAAAGCAATGTGTGAGTTGAATTAATTAAGTTCTTTATAGCGTTACTAATGTAAAGTAAGGAGTGTGGAATATTTAATGTGCACTTACATAAAAAAGGATCATTTGCGGCGATCTATAAATTCTCTTTGCTTTTTCTTTTACTTTAGTTATTGTTGCACTAAATAAATTGCATTTATGTTTATTTTAACGCTTTAATCAGAAAATCTAAACAATTTATTTAAATAGTTTATTTTGAAATTATGAGTTCTTCATTTCATTAAAAAGCTTACTAATTTACATACAAAAGTAAATATAAATATAATCTTGGATGTTGGACAAAAGTTATTTGGACATCAAACATCATATTATGGCGGGGGAAGAGGAGCATTGATTAACAAAAAATTAAGTAGGTCTTTAGTATTTAGCAAGCATTTTATCTTTCATAGAATACTAACATTATTTATTGTAATACAAATTTAGTAAAAATCTTTAATAATAATTTAATTATTTCCTGCACACTCATAATCACGGCATACAAATAAATTTTTAGTAACTATACCAAATCTTTAGAATGAACTGAACCTTTAATTAAAAGCCGTTAAAAAGGACTACGACTATACTTAGCGCATACTTAAATTGAACTTTTTTGTCATAGAATAAGTTTTAAATATTTATATAAAAGATACAGCATTCTCCAATATTAAATCCCATCCCATCGCAGATTGAGATATTTTTAAACTATATATATACGTTAACAACTAAGACATTTTATTGTTTTATTTAAAAAATAGTATATACATATAATATCACGTTGTTGTATATATATATAAGTATACGTAAACGAATAATGGAGCATAACAAATTGGGGGTGAAGCATTATTTCTTTCACCCCCAAATAGCGTCGTCATATCATCATATTGCGATTCCTTAGGCATCGTTACTTACGGTTTCAAATATCTTCGTCATTACTTCGCTGTTAATTTTAACGTAACAGTAACAACGTGGTATCTGTGATTTGATGAATTTTATGAAGTTTTGTTGCTTTTCATTAAAATACACGCAGTATGTATCTCCATGTAGCCTTATGGGTCGGAAAATGTATCCGAACACGACACTTCATTCGCTTCAGTGATAGTAGCATATAAGTATTGGATTCGTTTTCTGGCAATCGTAGGTGATCAGTGGCAAAAACGGTCAGATGTTTTGCCCATCATATCACAGAATCTGAAAATGTTATCGTCTTTTAAAACATCTTTAAAAAGAGTTAATAAAGAATATCATGCACAGTTAATAAACCACTGATTTAAGACTGATTCCATGTTTGTAAGTAGTCTATCAGATGCAATAAGGTTCGAGTCCTATTATGAAAGTCACAGCACAGCAACCTTTTATTAAACTTGTCATTGCTTCGTTAAATTTTAATTATATTTGTGAACGAGACAAAGGGTTTGGAGAGCTGATTGAATTCCCTATTCTTGCATATACTTTTGGCAATTTATTTGATTTATTTACATTTGAATATTTCAAGCACCATTTGTTGAGCGTCTTCTAGTTGCCTTATTGGATTTTCGAACGTTTGCTTACTTCTCTAACTATTATAACAATATCGGTTGCGTACGCATATATTTATGTGCACTTGTAAAATGTTTCCTTGATTTATATCTTATATATATTTTATTCTTTTTTTTTTGTGACCGAAATTATTATATAATAAATTATGAGCGGGCTAATTGGTCATTTAAATAAAAATAAAAAAACTATAATTTATTATATATATTTAAAACAAATTATTTTATTAAGATATTTTCCGATATTTCGACTATCTTCGATATTCATTTTCAGGAAAACTCTAAACTCTATTTATGGTTTGGTTAGTGGCAAACGTGCATTTTCAGCATTATTTGTCAGAAAATGACTTCATATTATATCAAATTTACCATGAAAAGAGAAGAATTCATGAATGAAACTCAAAAATGATAGTCCTTACCTTTGAATGACACGCAACCAACATGTTGGCGCATCATTCAGCTTCTCGCCAACATGTTGCACTAGCACACTTACAGCGTGTGAAGCACACTTACAGCGTGCGTAAACACCCTTATTCTTCAAAAATTTTGCTCCGATGACAAATCTTGAATTTGAGCATTTTAAGTTCGGTCGCTAGAATTATTTGAGCAAGGGAGACCGCAACTTGAATGACATTCAAAAATAATAGTCTGTACCACGTTGAAGACGCTGTACGAACATTTCACAAGTTTATAGACTTTTTAAATATTTTTTTTATAATTTTAAAGATCAGTACAAGTTTTTTTTTGTGATATAAAAGCCATAATTGAAAATGCAAAGAGAGGAATAAAGTGGTTAAATTTAACATGTCTAACTTTGTTGTGATAGTTCGTGTGTGTAAAAATAAATGGAAAAATTTTAAATTTTGTCGAATTTCTGTCTGCGTATTGTGCAAAAAAACATAGACGCGGCTTTCGATTTTTTAAAAAATAAAAAACTTTTTAATTAAACATTTCGTTTATAAACATTTTATATATACATTCTTTTTTGCATATATATGTATATGTTTTGACGCAACTGTACCTTAGCGAACATTGCTTATTCTATTTTATTATATTCGGGTTTAATTAAATGATAGTTTTAAGTTAATTTAAATTAATTTATAAATTTTTAATTTAATATATAAATTATTTTCTGACAATATTGTATATAATGTATGAATTTATGAAAAAACTGTTAAAAATTTTAACACATTTAAAAATTGTGTATAAATTGAATATTCTTTATTTTAATTTTTCTGTCTTTATGTTTTTATATGTATTATATTTTTAAAAATCAAACATATTAAATTAACATGCATATTACATAAATTACATATTAATTACATATTAAATTACATAACAATTTGCTGGGATTTAATGGTCGTTAGTAAAAATTGCATTGTTTTTTACTACTTGCAGCTTCAATTTTTATGGTAGTATTCACGGCGAACTATGAATTACACTCATCTACAATGGCTTACATTCAAAAAAATTCAAAAAAAATTTAATGTATCGGTTAAGTTTTTAAAGAGCAATAAAAAGAACATTCAGAAATTTTTGAAATACGCTCGTCAGTTGCGACCAACTCTAAAAAGACGTGCCATACGCATTCAACCAAATAATAGGGTCGTTATTCAATATAGTTATTTACGTAGGGTTTTATTCGACGCACGCCAGTGCAAACAGATTAAAAGACGTAAGAAGAACGTAAAAGCCTGGTCTCGAGATATTGTACAGTATTTGAAAAGAAACGGTGGTATACGAGAACATACTGAAGAACACACAATAGTAAACATGCCTCCGGCGGAAGTAGCTAAGCGGCTGAAGGAACAAATCGAAATGCTTAAAATTCGTTCACCGTCGACCACATTGTTGTTTGATAAAAAACAGGAGGGCGAAATAGACGAAGCTAATACTGATTTCAATAAATATAATAAACGTTTCCATTTTGGCGACATAAATGGTACATCACTGGCAGATTTAAGTGTGAATACACCTACCAACAAATTAGCAGCTTTGAAGGAGTCAACTAAACCAAAAGTACCACCCGGAAAGAGATTGCTTTACAGTGATCCCGACATTTATGCGGATAAAGTAAATGTCATGCCTTCTAAGACTAACTTATCGGATTTTGCTGATACTCCAAGTAATGATAAGTTTCTAAATGCTTCTACGCCTAAAATACAAGGGTCTAGACCTAAAATAGATAGTTTACAATCAATTAACATATCCCTACCGGAAAAGTGTGGTCGAACTTTATCAACTTCTCATATTTTCGCACAAAATGAATATGCTGTTCAAAAGTCATCAGACCGGTCTGATCAGACAAATAATAGTTTGACAGGAACTGAAAATTCGAAAAATATAGATAGTTTGATAGAAGACGAAATTTCGAACAATTTAGATATTTCGACAGAAGCGGACATTTTGCAAAATAATGATATCGCTAATTTAGATTCCGGCAAAACAAACTCAAATGCTTTATTGGATGCAGATATTACAGATAAATCTGTCAATATTAGCTTCTCTAAGACAGATCAAAATACAATGGGATCAGAAACTTCACTTAATGAAGATGACAATGTTGTAAACAATGTCTATAACTCAAATTCATTAAAAGGTAGGGTATTGACTTATTTTGATGGTAATTCTACTGAAACGAATGTATCTAAAACAAATATTGGATTTATAGATGGACTTATAACAAAATCAAAATTAATTACATCAACATCAGAGATTCTGTCTAATTCAGAGCTAGATCCCAATAATGATGCAATAAATTCAAATGATCAGAATGAATTAACTAAATCTACTAAATCAACGACAGAGCAATATGATAGTGACAATCAATCAGAAGATTTCTTAGGATTCGACGAAAGTGGCGCTTTTACTAGTTTTAAATTGGACCACTACATGAATATATATCCAGATATTTTTCCAAAGGATGCTACGAATTTAAGTAATAACTGTAAATCGAAACGTTTATTTCGGCAGAGTAAACTCGAAGGGCTATTAACACCCGCGACTACAGCTCCACTGCTCCTTATGCCTGAAGTACCTGCTAGCTTACAAAAGCTGCGTACTGTATCTGAACGTCGAAATTATCTGCAAAAGTTTCAAAAGTTCAATAAATTAGCTATAATTAATAATGAAGCTATGGTTTATCGTGAATTGCAACGTAAAATATTACATAATAATGGCAAAACTATAACGAATTCTATGTCTCAGACTATAACGTCATCTATGCCCTTCACGAGACAAGGATGGAAAGCAGCTTCATTTATATCAACTGATATAAATAAATTTTATTATCAAAAAGTAATGGTGGATAATAATTGTGTAAAGTTGTTCGGAGTTTATGGCAACAACGCGGAATTATATAAACCTAAATACTATAGTAAGGTACCACAGAACAAACTACCTATTTGTACTTCAGCCTGTTTAGATGCATTGAATTGGCGTGATATAAGTCCTTTTAAATCATCTTCAAATAAATTGAAACTAAATACTTGTACGAATGAATCAGCTTTCAGACCGTGTCCTTTATCAAAAAAACCATCCAATATAACAGATGATGAGGATCTAAATATAATGTTAAAAACTAACAACAAATTCTCCTTATTAAGACTGCCTGAGCTTGTGTTAGAAGTGAAACCCGAGGTCGGCAGACCATTAAATAATTTGGTTAAGACTTATATGCAACATGTTATGCCAGAAGACAAAATATCCCATGAATGGGCAAAATTTAGTGTATCAACACTAAAGGAACAGGGAAAAAAATGTGATGAAACACCAAATAATCGGGAGTTCTATAGCTTTCCAATACCTTATGCGAAGGGCAGGGAGACAGTTTTAGTGCGACAAGCTATAGATCGATCTGAAAAGCTGGATGAATATTTTACAACTGAAAATCAAAAAGCCAAACTTTCTTTCCGAGCAGATGTGCAAAACGATAATGATGATCAAATAGTGAATGACTGTGCTGTCTTTATAGAAGGCTTAATTAATAGTGTGGCTATTAGTGTCAGCGAAGACTCATTTACCCAAAGCGATCCAGATCTAGTATATGAAAACAAAACAAGACAAAATATTTATGCAAAGAAGAAATTAAAAGCCAAATGTGAAATCAAATCCCAAAACAAAAAGCAAAGAAGTTTAGTGTAAGTATTTTTTTTCAATTATTCTCTGAAAATGTATTAAATATTTCTTATAATTATTCTTATTAGAATGGAACTCAAACGACTTAATGCTACAATAGTTGATGCACACGTGAAAAGTGATGGTAAAGGATAATATAAATTCGTTTGTGTAAAAGACATGAAGAAATACTTCTTCTTATTTTCAGAATATTGTACGAAGGAATACTGCAAAGGAGGTTGTGTTTGCGACAGTCTTAACGAAGGTGCATCAGATCGTGATCATTGCAAAAAGATCAACTGCATGTTTGAATGTACCTGCAAAGGCTTGAATTCGACGCGCATAATGCGAATAGAAAGAGAGGTAAGTAGAAGATGTTAACTGTGGAATACATTATTTTGCGACAATTTTCAAAGAACTTGAAATTTTTACTAGATAATAGTGTTGATAATAAGCATAAGTACTTCAAATCTTTCATTCCAAAAAATAATATTCATTGCTTGCGTTGCCAAATTTTTATAAAAAAATTATATAGTCTGTTGGTATTAAATACTAAATATTTGTAAGACAATTTGTAATTTACCTAAGAGATATAAGAGAATTTTATTTTTTCGTTTTTTAATTTAGAAATGCAATATAAGTACAAAAGATGCATATCTTATACGGCAAAAAGCTACAGCGCAGTTGGCGCCTATAGAAAAAGATTTTAATTCAACAATTGTTCTTACGAATGATTCTGCATTGTTAATAAATGATTCAGAAATTAACAGGAAGCGTCGTTCCTTAAAAACTCCAAAGCGTTTTGAAGATTTTACTGGAGATGAGCAGAACAATTCCACTTTGTCATCTAAAAAAAATTGCGCAACATCAATTCGATGTAACTCTAATTCTCCTGTTACAGCAGATGTTGAGAAATCAAAGGACGTTACTAATTCTAGAGATGGTTTTTCAGCAGTTGTTACACCACTTCGAGAGACTGTATTCGTTGAAGAAAATCAATTTAATTCATTAAAGCATTGCGTAGTATCTCTAAATCGATTTCCAATTGACAACATGGTACCATTTTGCTTCATTCATGAACTTTACAAGTGTTTTTGTGGTGCTAAGGCAACCGAAGGTGAACGTTTCCGAATTGAACCAGAACAAAGTAAACCAGAACCAGAACAAAGTAAACCAGAACCAGAACAAAGTAAACCAGAACAAAGTAATAATGAAAATATTTCTGAAATTCCCAATGATGAAATATCCATAAATATTATAAACGAACCTGCACGTAATATCAAAAGTAACATGAAGAAATCAGTACGTTCTACTAAATCGGATGTTTTATTTAAGTATTATAATCAAGATCAAGAGAAGACTTGTCGCCGCGCAGTACCAATACCGGGCGATATTGTTAAGTCTCAAACTAAGGGTCGAAACTTAGGTTGCTATCGAAAAGAAAATGAAGACGAAACTAATAGACGTCTCCTTTCTGAACTTATATTGAGATCAGTTTACTATCCTAAAAATATAGAAAATATTAATCAATCAGAAAATCCTTTATTAAACAACAATGACATTTCTTCATCAGAAAGTTTTCTAGAAGATAGTACTTCAACGGATGGTCTCGAACTCACTGATTCTACGGTAAATTCTTTTCAACAGAAAAATACTTCTTGCATTGAAAAAACTTCATTTAAGAATATAACAGACTCTTCAAATAATGGTTGTGAAAAGTTTGCCGCAGATGCTAATAAAAAGAGTAAACAGAGAGAAATGAAAAAAAATACTAAAAATAAAAATATATTGCCTCCAGAAATTGAAAGTGATAGCTCTGTTAACGCCACTAGCACTGAAATGCAGTTCGATGAAACTTCTACATTGAGTAAGGATTCATTAAGTGATTCACAATTAGGCGATTTAATAAATAGTTCACAAAATTTAGTTGGCACCATTGATCTAACTAACGATTTTAATGATGCCGACAACAGTGTTTCGAGCAATCCTAGTATTTCGTCTATTGAAAAAGATTCTGGCACTCCAATCAACACAGATGAATATGAAGAAAATGACCACATGCAAGAAGAACAACAATTAGCAGAAAATGATGATTTTAATAATCCTATGAAATTAAAAAATTTCTATGAGTTCGTGATAAAGGACATGAACAGTTTAGTCAGCAAAAAAATGCAAGATATAGATAAGGTTTTGAAGCGAGAAAAGAAAATTATTCCTGCACCAAGTTGCAATATAATATGCGTTATTAAATGGAAACAATTTGTAGAGGCCTATGATGAAAATTATGTCTTTGTGTGGAAAGCAACACAGCGTAAACGTACAATTTTAGTTGCAACAATCGACTGTGAAAAGCCATCTATTTTGAATGCAAGAAAAACCGAAGAACTTAACAGTTTTAAGTACGATGATGCACTTCTATTGGGACAGCTACTTTTTTCGCGTCCGAATAATGAACAGACTAATAACATGGCAATAATTCTCCAAGGTCGCATAGGGTACTGGTTAGTGCGGGGATTTTTAATAATGGATAAACAAAGTGCATGTCCGAAGCCAACACCAATGACACATCCCGTTTTGACTAAGAAAATTAATATTCTTTGCTCTGTTTTGGTGAAACAACGAAACAATGAATATAGATTACAAAGTCAGCAAAACGAAGTAAACCAATCTGAAACTGTACAGGATACTGATGAAAGTGAAGATATTGAGAGAGGAGAAGTTACTCAAAATGACTGCGCTGAAAATGCAGAAGAGCTGGCATTTGTTCCAACAGAAAACACTAATCCTAATGATATACCTGCAACCAAATTGCAATTACCCAAAATTGCTAGCGTAACAAATTTCGAAAAGTCATTGACACATTCCAAAATCTTAACGTTGCCGAATAGAATTTCGCCGTCTTCAGTAACACACCAGCAGCAGATAAGCTCTCTAAGAAAGCGTTTGCCATCAGACGAATCGCTACAACCTCTTAGAAAGAAAATTCGATTTTCATCTCCATCTCGACATAATGGATCTCGACGGATTTTTATGCCTACGCGAGCAGCTCTTATGACACCCATGGCTGTTACAGATGAAAATACGTTATCAGTACAACATGAGAAGTTTTTAAAACAACTATGTGAACAAGCTGAGCTTAAAATTATAAAAACCAATATTGAGTTACGCACACTGAATTCGTCTGAAGTAGCAGAAATTGTTCATCCTTCTGGAATCCCTGGGAACCAGAAGTGGCTCATTATAAATTTACGAAACGATTTTTCGCACATATTTGTGCCGAAATTTAATATTCTGTTGTCTCGTGATCGTATAATGAAGATATTGAAATATAGCGCGCAAAAATACAAATCTATTAAATTTCAATATTTCAAGAACTTTGCATTTGATTTCTACGTAACCTCATTTGCCAAATACATACTTTATTTCGGCCCTTTTACACTGAATTATGAAATACCGTTGCTGTTGTTACTACAAACTGTAGATCGAAATATCATGTTGAGAGAAATATATCAGAAAAATTATAAGCACATAAATCCAAAAACCCAACAGACTACTGCAGTGTTGTTAATTAAAAGAAACAACTGCTTTGAAGTAGATGTTGACGAAGATCAAAGTGAAGAAATTGTCATAGATTCTGACAGCGATGACGATGTAATAATCGTTGAAAATTCCTCTGAATTTCCATCTCAAAATAGTATCAGTAGTATAGAAACAGAGAATATAGACTGCGAACAACTTTCACCTGTTGCAACAAATACTAACAATACAAATAATACTGATAGTAACAACACACTTAATCTCGGCCAGGTTTCAGGTGACATGATTTCAGAAATTGAAGAGAATAGCGACCATATATTGCCCAAATTGGTGCCTATAAGTTTCAACCGGGGACCGATTTTGCAAATTCCATTAGGAAATCAAATGGGATATGATATAATAAAACTCCCAAACAATGCAGTTATTACAAATGTAGCAACTGCGCCACCTGAAGTGAGTTATGGTTCCACAATTTATATAACAAGTGCACCGGAACAGACAGCTACGCCAAGCACAACTAATATGAATATTTCATCAATCAATCATACCGATGATCCGATTCAAAATGAGTCAAATCCAGCTATTAAAAAAACGGAATTAAATAAATCTAATTCCTCCCCGTTTAAGGTGCCCAAACTTCCTAAACAGATTACAGTAACACATAAGGACGTTATTTCAACAATAAATAAATTACCGACAGCCAATACAAGCTTAGTAAATGTTGAAAAACCTACAAAAGCGACTAAACGTCGTCGGGACTCGGTCCGACCAAATGCAACATCGAATCCTTTTGTTAGTCCATCAAAGAAAGGAAGCCCATCGACAAAAAATGTAAGAATTGCTTCTAGGTATGTAATGGAGCAACCGCTGGTATTTGATGTAAATCTTTCAGCCGATGAAGATGAACCACCAGCGTCAATACTTATAAGACAAAACTATAAAAAGAAAAACAAAAACGTTCCAATGGAAACAGCTTTGCCCATAGGTAGTTATATAAGCATGGAACGTATAACTCCCATTAAAGTAGCAACAGTCAATAGTGAATCGTTAGCAATTTCAAACACAGAAGTAAGAGAGCAAACGAATGCAGTTATTGCTACTGAAAGTATTATAAACACAAATACTGGAGAAAAATTGGTCTTAAAACCAAGCACTGATTTTATATCCAAATCTGAAGAATCTTCTTTAGAACAACAACAAAAATCAAATATGCAGAATGGAAGTAAACTTTTAAGAGTATTTAAACGCTCTGCGGATGGTGAACTGAAATCTGGTATAATGCGCAATGCTAGGCAAACACCAACTGTTACTCTCAACAATAATAACAAAAAATCATCAATAACTTTATGTAAACCAACATCAAGTTTCTTACAAGAAGGACCGACAAAGATCTCAGATATGCAGAAACCAACAACTTCAAAAATATCGAATTTAAGCGCAGAAAGTGCGAAATCACTAACAGTCAATAACGAAAACAATCAAGAAAGCGCACCAAAAAAGAAAGAAAGTCTGTTGGGATATGTCACCTCCGATATGAAAGAAAAGGTAATTGTCACATGCAAAATGAGGCGGACTTAAGTAAACTTATTAATTTGTAAGTGAATTGTATTTTATATATTGTTTGTTTCTACAATATTAAAATCTTTTTCTATTTAAATAGGTATTTGACTGATAAATGCAATAACAAATATTTTCATCTGTTGCCAGTTCATTGGAGGTTTGTAGAAGTTAACAAATCAAACCGAATACAAGAAAATAAAAATTTGGAAAATAAATCATCTAATCAAGTAAAGAAATTAATAACAAATGATATAATTTTTCCCATTGTAACACGTTTTATTTTTACAGAATGCTGGAGTAACAGATGCGGACAGCGGCCTAAATGATTTAAACAAGAGTGCCACAAACACACTTACTTTGTCTTAGGCGTTGCATTGAATTAAATTATATATTAAAATTTTTTCTTTGTTTTTCGTCCTTAAAATGTATATACCATAGTTAGTAATATATAAATTCGTTATCACATTTATTTGTGCATTATAGATACGCCACAAAGAAATGCAAACCGGCTAAGCTCGGTGTGACTTTTTCTTCTTAATAATTAATGCTATTTTTTTAAGTTTGTACAGTTTATGCAAAAAAGAATATGTTTTATTTATTTATTACATTTATAATTGTTAATTTTCCATTGAAGTTTTTGTAACACGATTACTTTTGTTTCGATTTTGCACAAAATCAAAGAATATTCGGTTTTTATTCAAGATTTTGCCACTTTGGAGAACTATATTTCTATATTTAACTGTTTAAACCATATTCCTACAATTCCAGAATCGCAGAAATAAGTCAATATATTTTTATAAGTTCATTCATTAAGTTTTTACATTAATAACTCCACATGTAAATTATCGAACCCAGTAAAAATGTTTTCATTTCTCGATTTGAATAAATAAATCTAATTTTTATTTACTAATTCGTTACTATTACTAATGTACTATATATAATATGTATATATAATATTAAGAATTCTAAACATTACTTAAACGTAATGAAATTGTTATAATAAAAATTAATGTCAAATCTTTGTACCTTACTGCATTGATAGTAATAATTCCGTTTGACATGAAAATACTTACCGCAATTTTGTATATTTGAAGAAGATTTAAAGACAAACACCTCAACATTTGAGCATTTGTAAAATCATTGAAATCAGTTATATGGTGCCTAATATTAAAATAATTAAATACTTATCGATCATTTGAAGTGTGCTGTTCATTTATTATTTATTGGGATTATTTTTAAGGGTTTGATTTTTAATTTGACATAAACATTATCAACATCATTTATTTGATTGTATGACCAATGTCTATAAGTGCAATAACATGAATTACTTAATTGAATTCATATCAATTTTGAATTAACTTCTCTAAATCCAGTTACGCATTTACTGCTCAACAAAATAAGCGAAACTCAAAGTGCCAGCTAACCAATCGCGAAGAAAATATAAACAGAAATATTACAACAAAAAATTTATGTGTAAAACATCCGTATGAACATTTTTAGTGTTTATAGCAAATTAGATTAAATATAGTCGATCGATATCATGAATTTAGCATACTCAATTGTCAATGTTCACACAAATAATACAATATAATTGTAGGAAATTTTACTATATATATATATATATATTAATTATCTTCTGTAAACTCATTTAGTGACATTCATATCTCTCCCAAGAAGACACATTTTTGGTAGCAAGGAATATCGAGCACACTAATCGTACCATAAAGTATTACTTCATGCGGTAAAAATAACCTGGCAGAGGATAATGAAAATCTCTTCTACTTAAAAGAGAGTCAATATATTGTTATAGTTAAATTTATTTTTATTAGAACTTAAAAGCCTCAGCCAAGTGCTTTTTGTCGGATCATAGATATATCATATTTGTGGTAAACAGTCACAGATTGGTTAAACAGACTCAGCTTAATCTCAGAGGATTAAATTTTGATCAATTCAATAGGCTATTTAATGGTTAGATTTTTGGTAGTAATTTATTTGGAATTAACTCGATCAGAAAATTGAAGAGTAGGGTCAATTCCTTCACGCAACACATTCTATTCCCTTTTGAATTATCATGACCATATAGATTCTATTTACCATGGTGAAACGATAGGTTGTCTGCTCTTCGTAGAGACTCACGCAAACTCTTTAGCGAAAAGTATTGCTCCAATGAATAGCTACCATATAAAGTCCTTTAATGGCATACGGGAACGCTTCCAGAATCCAAAAAGAAATTTTGGGAATCTCACTATCTTAAAATAAAAAATATTGAAGAATTTCCCAGATTAGCTAAATTATTAACAAAGGATCATTCCCATCTCTCTATCATAAATAAAGCAAATGGAAGTTCAGTAGCTAGTTGATACGCACACTCATTTGTTCCGACTGTCCTTCAAAGGTACTGCCTATTCATTCAGCGAATTTGGCTAAGACTATATGGTCAGGTTAGAAGAATCAAATTTGGAAATTCTAAGAACCTATTTTCTTGCTATGAACAGAAAAAGGAAGTCTATAGTTCCACTGATAATCAAATGTAGACGGTTTATCAACTTATTAGATAGTAGTTCCAAAGTAATTCTCGTCGGGGTTTTTGGACCTGCAAATATAGCGTGTAACGAACGCGCTGATGAGCTAGCGAGACTTGGTTTCTTTACCGCTTATTATATATACTTCTCTATATTATATATCATTTTTAGGTTCTATGGAGTATATAAATAAAATAAAAATGCAGAGAAGTTCAATTTTCTTTTCTGTGTGGTTGCTTTATGTCCGATTTCATTGATGATTAAATATTATATACGAGCTTTATGGATTGTCCTTTATCTTGTAGCGGTGAATCAACAACGTTAAGCAATGTGTGTGTGATGGTTATAGGTTTAGATTTGTTTAATTATTTTAAATTTGGAAGTCTCTTTATGGTTAGTTTTATGTACTTGAGATTTGTTTACTATCTTTTTAGATTCAAGCATTCACTCGACCTCCTATTATTTGCGGTTGCATTTTAGTGACGAAAAAGAAAACATTATACTAAAAAATTGGATCATCATTGAAGTTTTGTAAATTAAATATACCACAAAATTAGATGCATTCACTCTGTTATCTGTTGGGGCAGTATAGCGTATGTTGAGTAATTTTAATCAAGTTTTTTCAGATTATCTAACTAATATATTTATGTATTAGTATTGGCCAAACTTCCCAAAAGGCCAAACTATTATTTTTACGATGGCTTTCCCTACGAAAAAACTATAGAAATCTTTCTTCTCTTTAACAAAAATGGAATTAATGCGAAACGTTTTAAATGCAGTGAAGTATCTGCGAGAGGACTATCAGGTTTTAGCTATGGATAATTGTTTATTTATTAGGACTTTGGTGTTTGTTGCACAGGTAAATGTTTATTTTTATCAGTTGGCAATAATAAATTTAAATAAAGTTATATTTTTAAATAACGTTTTATCGTATACAAATAATGATTGGTCTTTATATATGTTGAAAACTTTTCTTTCTCTATTAAGGGTAGTCTCTTAAGTTAGTTGGTTTACTATCAAAAGTCTTTTATATTTTTTTGGTTGTATGGAATTTGTTTTAGACTGCAAATTTCATAAGCCTTATTCGGGGTTTACGTCACGAATTTTGCTGATGGAAGTCGACTTTCACTGCAAAATCCAAACCTGATTTTGGCATATAAAAATAGGCACAATAAAGTTCGAACTTTCACTGAAAGTTAGCTTCATTTTGTACTTTTTCTAGAATACAGTGCTAAATTTAATGCGTTATCGATAAGTTTTTAGTATAAAAATAGCGAAATAACAAATTTTTATATATATATTGGTAGTGCCAAGTTAGTTACTTATGAATAAATGTTAAAAAATAATTTCTTTGTTGAGCTTTTACAGAGATATTTAATAATTGAGTTAAAACATTGAAATGATATTTATTCATTTTTATTATTTATTATTATTTTTATTTGAAAGTTCAAATTTTTTATAAATATGAAATTTCCCCAGCATCGAAGCTTAACTTTGACTTTAAATTTCACAAAATTGAATTACTCTATTTTTGTGTTCTTTATTGTTAATGATAGCTTAATAAAAATTCTCTGTTAGAAGTATTTGCGTGTTATTCTAATAAATAATCTATAAATATTATGCATTTCTATTTAGTTAAATTAATTTTTTAAAACACAAAAAATTTGTTAATATTTAACCCAGCTTTCCATAATAACAATTCCAGTTGATAGCTCATCAATATATTAAAAAAAATAAGAATTGTCAAAATGAAAACCCGAAACGATAATGTCAAAATCAATTTTAGCAAAATTCATTAACTGAGCTCCGTAATGAAAGCCCCGTATTAGGTTCGTAATGAAAACATGGTATTAATTAATTGTTAAATGAAACTTTTTTTTTTGGCAAGAATTTGTGATTGTGATAGTAATTATTTGTTAGTAACAAATATTCTTTTATAAAGTTACTTAAAATAAAAAACCATTTTTCTTGGAAATCAATATTAATTACTGATTTCCAGAAAAAATTTCTAGTTTTTATTAGTTTTCCCTTTAACTTCGACAATATTGTTCTGAAATGTTAAGTAATATTTGAGAGAGGATAATAAAAAAATTCTTATTATATGGTTTGAGGCGAAAATGCTAACAATTCAATTCCCAGACTAACAAAAAATACATCACTGATTTGACAGCTGTCTTTTAATTATTTTCATTTGAATATTTTCTACATTTAGAAAACAAAAGTGTACTATATACGAAATTATGTGTAAAATGTGAAAAAAAAATTTTTTAAACATTAAATAAAGTAGATTTGACATAAATTTTGCTTTTAGAACAAATATTGTTTCATACAGAATTATTTGAATTTGGGTATGAATGCATTAAATTTTAAGTCGGATAGATTTGTGGTGAAATAAATTATACTCGTTGATAAAAGTTTACACAATTTCGTCGTCAAAATTGATACGTGCCCTCGTCGGACCAATTTGTGGTTATATTACGCGTATTTTAGATAAAATGCTTGTACCCTCTCAGGCCATGGATCAAGTAAACGGTTCCGCAGATGCTAATACATCAACAGTAGAGAAAATGTTTCGTTTGGAAGATCTACCAATGCTTTGTCAAACTCATTGTAGAATTAAAGACCGACAGAAAGTGGAGCTTATAATTAACGAATTCATATATGGTGGTCCAAACCGCTTGCAACTTGTGTCCGATTTCGATTTTACAATAACAAAACAACGTACCAATGATGGTACACCAGTTTTGTCCAGTTTTGGCATATTTAATGCCTGCAAGTCGTTGCCGGCAAATTTCATTGAAGAGTCCAAACGGTTGTATAAAAAATATCGCCCTATCGAAATCGATCCACATTTGCCGACAGATGAAAAAATTAAGCACATGATTGACTGGTGGTCCAAATCCAGCGATTTACTCATGTAAGTCTCATATATTAGATATGTACTATCGCTTCATTAACCAATTTTAATATATTATGATTTGAGTGCTTGATAACAATTTTATGTTATCTTTTTACATCAAATACGAATTTCAAAAATAGTTAAGCACAAACAAATTTATAATTTTAGGTATAACATTTGCTTTAATTTAATAAATGCTAGTAAATCAGTTTGTTCGAAAGAGATTTATATTTATGATACAATATTAAATGATTAAATAGTTGTTATTTAAACATATATTTTACATATGCGTTTATTGCCGAAAGTATAGATTTAAAAAACTACATAAAAAATACAAAATTACTGTAAATATAAAATAATGGAATTTTTATTTATTAATCAAAATAAATTAATAAAAAAATTCGTTTTAATTTCAGTGGTGTGCCATTTGACGCGGAAGAGATCGATCATGTTGCTGTGAAATTTAAAGACTCTTTGCGTGACCATTCACATGAACTATTTGCAACACTTAATCGACTCGATATACCCGTATTGGTGTTTTCAGCAGGCCTTGGCGACTCAGTTGTGTCAGTTTTAAAACAAGCGAATATTTTATATCCAAATGTTAAAGTTGTGTCAAATTTCCTGCAATATAGCGCAAATGGTTTATTGGATGGTCTTTCCCAGCCAATGATACACACTTTTAATAAAAACGAAACTGCCTTACAAGACAGTGAATATTATGATTTAGTACATAGTCGTGACCACATCATTGTTATGGGTGATTCTCTAGGGGACTCAGAAATGGCAGCCGGTGTTCCTGCTTCATCACATATTATTAAAATCGGATTTCTGTTTGATCATGTAAGTTATTTACAAAATATAAAATGTACCATTAATAAAATAAAAATAAATTTTAGGTTGAAGACAATTTGGAAAAATACATGAATGTATTCGATATTGTTTTGGTAGATGATCAGACAATGGATGTGCCCCGAGCGTTGCTAACGCTTATTGAGGAACAACATAAATTTGATGTAAAAAAAGAGAATAACTAAAATAAAGGAAGTAATTTCTTTTACAGTTATTTTTTAACTGCCAATTGACGCTTGTGGAAATCGACGATCTACGCTTACAAGTATATAAAGCATAAATGTTTTGTTAATTAAAGATTATTTAGTGTATAACGGACTTAATCTTTTTTGGAAATAAACTTGTTATTCTAGCATTCTGTTCAATTTTTATTTATATATAAAACACATTACTTTATAATAATATAGTAATCAAGCGAAGTGATATATTTACATTAATTTATTGTTACCTTTTTACCTTTAATTTTGTTTGGTTAAAATATTTAACAACAAGATATGATAACATTGTATCATTGTGGCTGAATTTGAATTTCATTATTATTCTAATAGCATTTATATGTTTTTATGCAGGAATTTATGAAATATGTGTAGGTTATTTTGTACATTTAATACTACATAATAAGTCGAAATTTTTGCACATATACACACACATGGCAACTCTGCAAAAATGACCCACTGCGCTCAGCTGTCATTTTGACGTTTCCACAAATTTTTTATTGTCATTCAGTGTTATTCATTACAGAAAAATAAAGTGTTAGGTCTATACAGAATATATGGATATAAGACAATTGTTTTGGACGATGTTTTTGAAGAAAATAATTAAGCAAAGTAATATTTATGTATAAACTTAAAAATCAAAATTGAAGATAGTAGTTTAATAAATTAAGAGCAATCTGTACAATGTTTGGTTTTGATGGAGAGTATAGACGAAGACCTGCTCAGAGTCTTGGAGGTGTTTCTCAGACAAGTGACCGTGAAACAGTAATACGGAAAGCAAAACAAGAGAGGCAGAAACGTAGTGAACTACGCTTACAAAATCAGGGAGCTGTCGTAATACAATCATATACACGTTCATTTTTAATAAGGCAGCGCTGCAAAAACTATGAGCGAGAATTGTTCGATGAATTTTTTCGTATGCATCGGGACAAAGTGCTAGAGGATGAAAATTTAACATTTTTACTACGGAGGATATTGTTTTTTTACAATAGAAAGAACACACAAGACACCGAACGTCTGGTATGTCAATATTTAAACTATCAGATAAGACAGTTTTAAACATATACAATTTTTTTTAAAGATTGAAATTTGTCAGCACTTAGTACGTAATCCTGGAAGAATGCTACAAAATGCAGCCACCGATTTTATATGGTTACATAGATTAAAAAAGATACTTGATGTATGCATAACACAATTATTCATACCACACGTTGCCCAAGCTATACCCCTACGTATGCTGGAAATTTTCACATCTGGATCTTCCGTAGAACGTTATGTTGAAAATGAGAAACTAGTTCAATCATATCTTGATCGCATATTTTTATATTTAATTAAGCGGGAATATTTTTATCGAATACGTTTACTGATTGATGAGAAATGTCCGCCCTTAGATGGAGATACCTTACATCCGCCAAACAAATTTACTGAAGCACTTTATGAACTATTGTTGCGCCCTTTGCTCTTGTCAAATAAAAGTGAAGTGTTCTCGCAAGGTACCACAATTTGTCATTCGTTTATTAAACATATCCTAGCTAAACCATTTACGGAGCCAATACGGAATTTTGTACTACCGTCAATGGCTGCAAATAAAGAATTTCCATTCGAATACCTCATAAAATCCTTAGAGCATTCAGCACGAAAACAGCAACAAGAAAAAATGCAAGTTGATGAGAACATTAATATACCAACCTTTACCAGAGTTTCTGCAGTGGTGACTTACAACGAGGAAAAAAAAGAAGTTAGAAGTGATGATATTTTTACCAGTTTCCTACTTAATGCGGTTTTAATTTTAGATAAACATAAGTTAGGTGAGTTTTTAATCTCTTAGTCTAACAAAATCAAAGTGTTTTCAAAAATTTAGAATTAAGAAAGTTGATCAAAGCTTAAGATAGTAAAAACTTTTCCCTTCACCAAAAGTGTATAACTAAATAGTTATTAATCATGTATTTCTCATGTGCGTCCAAATATTAGTTTCGAAGTTTTAAGAAGAAATATCCTGGAGCCATTGCCGCCTCCCACTTTTATAAGATTACTTCACTCCATTTCGAATTACATCACTCATCCATGCGTGTATTCTTCATTATAAACTTAAGTATAACAATGTAAGTGGTGTGCGGTTTCACTTAATGGGGTTCTCGAAATCTTTTATGGGGCAGAATACGTTTATATTGTAGATTAATGCTTTTACTTTTATGCCGTTGTTGTAGCCTGAGAAATTTTAAAAGCAGATAATATGAAAAGAAATTCGTAACAAATACATTAAGTTTCTTTTTAACATTGATCTTATCGTATAACATATTGATCTAACGATCAACAGTATCAAAACGAAGTTAATTATGTATGTAATTGAATGTTTATACAGAAATGGGCTTGGCCTTTGATCGTGCACATTTGGATTTCCTAGAATCTACTGAATTAAAATAAAATTATTTGACCGAAATGCTTGGTTCTATGTCGTTTCAGAGTAATTTCGAAAACTTAAACTTAGACCCCATATTGATTGACCTTTTGAGATGATTCGAATGTCTATATTGTGATATGCTGTATCTGCTAAGTAAATTCAATAATTTGATTTTTTGCTTACTTGCAATTTTGGGAATTTTGGGAAAATGGAAAATTCTTTCACATCATAGAAAATGATATTGGCAGAGGTATTAATTTTTCGAGCACCATTGTAGCTTTTTGCAACACTGCCAGTTTTGCTTTAACGTGCTATAAATCGATGCATAAAAGAATTTGTTTGTATTGGAGTGTTTAAGGGACCTAACGACGGCAATTTTTAAAAAATTTAAAAATAACTTGCAAAATTATTGTAGGAGAATGCTGTTACATTGCACTCAAAAACTTCTACAGAAACTTTACTCACACAATTAAAATAAAAAGAGAAAGAGCGAAACAGGTAAACAAAATATTCATTTTATATACTTTTTACAAATAATTATGAAAATATTTGTCAAATCCGATAATCCGTTATATCATTATTAAGATAACTGCGGTATACTGTTTAGAAAAACAAACAATCGAACATTCAAAACAAAAGCGGTGCACTGTCTGTCGCAGAACCATTGAAACTGTGTAGTCTCAAATTAAACACAAAACTTTTTATTCCTGTTCATTTAAAATACTCTTCTCTTGAGTCAAGGCAACGAAGACAACCATCACCTAATTTTCGAAATATTTTTCATGCCAGTATGCTGGCAAACTCGAATGGATGACTGGGATGGTATTAAAAAAATGTTCATTGTGAAAATGCTTTTAGGGACTAACAACCTAAAACACTTCAAGAATTGTATAATCAGAAAATAACTTAAGAATTATTAAGGGATTATTTACCGGTCACTGTAGATTGAATAATCACCTATTGAAATTAGGCATTCACTACAACTCAGACTGCAGATACTTTAGAAAAGAGAGAGAAACACCTAAGAGGGTATTTCATGGATCATAAAGTTGCAAGACTAGGAAACATAGGCTCTATATTGTCTTTCATTAAACAAATCGGACTTGAAGAAACACTCTAATCCGACTAAGGGGCGCAATAGATCTTTTAGGTCGCAGTGCATTATCCCCTCTTTTCAATAATAAATAAATAATTATATGAATAATTTACGTTTGTGATGGCTTTGTGCGATGGTGTATTATTTGCAACTTATTGCCTGACTTCCAATATTCCAATCAAATTCGCTTCAACTATTAAATATTTAAAATTAAACCCTCTTTTAATAAAACTAAGATGAAAGGGGCAATAAACAAAAGTTTCAAAATGTTGAGTGTTTAGACTACAGTATACAGCAATATGTAATTTTCCTTAAAAATGTGCTAAAATATTTTTTTTTATTTTTTTTGATATTTATTTAGGGCAGGGCTGTCCAAAGTACGGCCCGCTACATGTTTTAATCTACTACAATCACGTAAAATTTCTTTTTTAATTACAAGTAAAACCACATTTTTATCGAAAACAATTATGAATGTATGTATTAGTTTGTGCGGCCCTCCAGTCTGTACAGTGATTTGCATTAACCCGCGATCGGATCTGCTCTGGACAGCCTTGATTTAGGGCATATAAAAGATCTTAACATCCAATTACATCCAATGATCGAAGTTGATGATATTTAAACGAGAAATCTCTTCCTTATATTTTTTTAAAAATTGTGATCTGTTTAATAAATCTGATCGTCATTTGTTTTAAGTAAATGTCGTTCTGAAACATTTTTTAATAAATCACAAATCGGTACCATATAAGATGAACGAGTTATGTCGATTGTGGTTCTTGTTGAAACATTAGTAGAAAATTAGATTTCTGTTTTCAAAACTATTATTTAATTTAGAATAGGTTCAAAATTTTTTAAGAATTTCGAATGAACTATAACGATAGTTAGTAGCATTATTGACAGTATATACAATTATTTTTTCGTAAAGATTTTTTGATAAATTTATAGTTATTTTAATAGATATGAAATAATAATTATAAACTAAAATAATAATTTTAAAATGTTTACATACATTTTTTTTTTGCTAAATTGATACATTAACCTACATTTTTTTCGTAGATATGCTCCATTCCAAATCATTACTTCCCGATTATATAAAAATAATAGCGACAGTATCGCCTATTATTTTGCAACTTCCAAAAATATCTTCACATATAGAGAACATAAATCAACGTTCTGACGATTCAGAATCTTCCGAAGAAGACGACGACGAAATTTATATAAAAAGAAGTAAGGATACCGAAGAAAATAATTGTAAGACTCTTAGCAGTATTGAAAGAGATGCATTATTCGAAAGCATAAGTATTTTAAACGAATCACAACATGTGAATGCGATTGTGGGTTCAGTGGAAGCATATTTAAGTGATGAAAATGTATTGTATGGACTGTGCGAAATATGTCACAATCTGATGATTTACAACAAAGCAGCAATATTGCAATACAAGTGAGTCGATAAAAAAATTCATTGAGATCGTTTTACAAGCGAATACTTTTTTACAGACTGCTGTATACTTTAGCGTTCATGCCCCAAGTGATTCGTGCCATTTGGTTCACTCTAGCTGCAGAGTCAAGTAAATTAGGTTTTTCTGCTCCATTAACTCTGATCTCTAAAGGCGTTGTGCGTAAGTATATCTGCACAACTTACAAATTCATTTGGAAATATATATTATGTTCATTTTATAGCAAAACAGTGTGGCGTTATGCGAACGATACCAATGCTAGCGTCTTTTTGTTTACTTTTTGGACGTTTACTGCCAACGTTGCACGATGTAGAGTTCTGTGAGGAAAATTTGCTGGATATCGATACCCCGCAACCTTTAACAAATCATGTGCGTCTTATGCCGTTTTCTATTGCTGAAATTAAACAACTTTCTAAAACCCTAAAAGAAATATCGATGGGACTCGTAGAGTTAGCTTTTCCTGAAACACGTACCGGCCTAAGAGAACACTATCGATTTGTGCTGGGTCCTGCCAATTTTGACGATGATAAAATAAAGCAACAAAAACAAATTTGGGCAAACTTGTTAAAGGTTGTTGTTTTTGTTTTAAATCAAATACATACTCGTGATTTGAGGCTGCGTTTCTGTTCGGAGTCGCATTGGATTGTAAATCAATTGGATTTACCGTTAGACAGACCAACAGATTTACCATTAACGCGTGGTACACGGTTACGTGGCTTGCGTCCGTTTCAACCAATCCGTGATTTTACACGGAAAGATTGTGAAAATGGACCACCAATGTCTACAAAGCAAATACGTTCCATTACAATTTTAAGGGAGATTCCATTTGTTGTGGCTTTCAGTAAACGCGTAGGAATTTTGCAAGGACTAATAGCGGCCGATAAGCTGCGTGTACAGGGTGATTTGCAAGCGTTTTTACAAGGACCTTCCATATTGATTACAGTAAGGAGAGCATATCTATATGAAGATGCTTATGACAAGTTAAGATTAGAAAATGGTAAGTGTAGCACTTATTGTAATCAAAATAACAAATTATGTTGATAAACATGGTTAGAGAGGTTAAAAATATTATAGTAGATATTGAATCATCATATTTGTTCTTAATGATACATTTAAATATCGTTGTTATGTCACGTGTTACCTTTTGATATCCATAAAAAATCAGAACTTGTTTTCGGTGCAGTTGAATAGATGATATAATACGAATTGAGCAGTTTGATTATAAATTTACATGTTATTTAAAACTAAAAACTTAAAACTAAACATTTCAGAACCTGACTTACGTCTGAAATTTCGAGTTCAGTTTGTTTCATCATTGGGGCTTGACGAAGCTGGAATTGATGGTGGTGGTATTTTCCGTGAGTTCTTATCTGAGCTCATAAAAACATCTTTCGATCCAAATAGAGGCTTTTTCATGTGAGTACAAAGTAACATACACATTTAATATAATATATACTATATATAAATATTAGGTAAATACAAATAAATAATAGATAAAATATATAAATATACAGTCAATTTTCCATAGCTCGAACTTGGAGCTGAAAAGAGTGCAACAGGGTTTTAGAGAGCAAATTACATACAATTCGGCTTCTTTGAATAAAAATATTGTCAGGTGCGCCAATAGGAATATGGAAAGTGCATTCTTTAAGTCGAATTTTTGTTTTAAGTATGAATCCATTTTGATGAAAAAATGTTTAATTTTTTCTATCTTATGTTGCTTCTTTGTGCAAATGCCAGTCGCTGGCATTTATGCAGTTGCATAGAATTAACATTTCTTTCGCAGAATATGACTTCTAAATTGCAACAGAATCGTAAAAGAAGCACTAACGCGTATAGAAGCAAATTAGAATCAGAATATCACATTTATGGATTGCATAAATCATGTAACAAAAACTTAAGATATTGATGTACATAAGTAGTCAAACGATAGCGCACTGCTTTGAAAAAGCTGGATTTGACCAATTTTCTACATTGGACGATATTCCTTTTGTTTTCTTGAATAACATTGATGAAGATCGTGAATTGATGTAAAAATAAAAGTAAAATAAAAATATAAGTAAAATAAATAAAATAATTTCCAATGCTACTCTTAACGATTATATTGAGCTTGACAATGAAGTTTGTATATCAAGCTTTCCTACAGATGACGATAATATTGAACATTATTGCTCTGAATTAGAATTAGTGGAGGATTTTAAGTGGCAACCACATTTGATATCGAAATGCTTATACGTGATCCATTATTGGTTAGCAATAGACAAAATAGTTCAGGTTATCGCTGGTCTGTTGTTGAGATAAAGTTATGTGGTAAGATACTTACAGTAGTAGGAAGAGACCGATTGAAAATTATATGAATACAGAAAATAATGAAAATATAGAGATTTTATGTGGATTGAACCAGACCGTAAAGTTCAAATTTACTGTTATCATAAATTTTTCTTGTTTTAAATAGAAGTAACATTTTGTTTAAGTTTGCATGTTTGAAACCAATTGTGTTTGTTTGGAACACTATTAAGTGATTGAAATAAGAAATAGCTGAGGCTCAGAAAACAAAGAAAATTGTTGGTATTTCTAATCCTAATTGATTCTTTTAAAATTTCATTATCATTTCTAATTAAGTTATTGTCTAATAGCAATCAGGGATAGATAATACAGGTAATAAGGCACATATATATAGGCAGCTGAACAAGTAAATCAAAAGAGTTCTAAATGGGCTAATTAAATATAAACTATTTTTTGTAATAACTCAAAAAATTATGTTTAGTTAAAAAACTTATTTATTATAATAATAATTTATTTATTATAATTTATTGTAAAGGGTTACTACGGACAATAAACTCTATCCAAACCCGAACGTATCTGACCTATTTCCTGATTTCGATAAGCATTATTTTTTTATTGGGCGTATATTAGGAAAAGCCATATATGAAAATTTACTCGTTGAGTTACCTCTGGCAGAATTTTTCTTAACAAAACTAGCTGGTAAATATGCTGATGTTGACATTCACCAATTGGCGTCACTTGATCCGGAGTTATATAAGAACCTTTTGTATTTGAAAGACTACGAAGGCGATGTCAGTGAATTGAATTTAGATTTTACGGTGACGACGAGCTCATTTGGACAAACTCAACTGGTGGAACTCAAACCAAATGGTCAAAGCATATCAGTTACAGACTCAAATCGAATTGAATACTTGCAACTAATGGCTGACTTTAAATTAAACAAACAAATACAAAGGCATTGTTCATCTTTCCGAAAAGGACTCTCTAATGTGCTACCAGTAGAGTGGTTGTATATGTTTAGTAACAAAGAGTTACAAATATTAATATCTGGTGCGGAAATACCAATAGATTTAGAGGACTTAAAAAAACATTGTAAATATGGTGGTGAATACAGTTCTGAGCATCCATCAATTGTGGTGTTTTGGTCCGTTTTGGAAAAATTTAATGACTTGCAACGTAGACAATTACTTAAATTTGTGACAAGTTGCTCTCGACCACCCTTATTGGGATTTAGAGTAAGCTCTTTTAATATGAATTTGAAATAAATATTACAAAAGGATTTCGATTATAGGACCTGGACCCACCTTTTTTCATTCAAAACGCAGGTGATATGGAACGTTTGCCCACAGCGAGCACGTGCACAAATCTACTGAAGTTGCCACCTTTCACAACTGAAGAACAAATGCGTGAGAAGCTATTATATGCCATACAAGCAGGTGTAGGATTCGAATTGAGTTGAATTATTTTTATTTTATATACGTTTACATAAAATAAAAATGTATAATAGTAAATATATGTATTTTTTGCAGATAATATAAACAATGTTTTACTAGAATATAAATTTATTTTTAATTATACTTAGTTCCTTGTTTAAATTCTAACATGAGTAAACATTTGCATTTGTTACTTTCATAAATGTTCAGTCTCCATCAAAAACATAAAGAATCAAATGCACACTTGTTAAATATATAGTTCAAAAAAATAATATCTTAAAATTTTGTAAACCTTGAAATAGTTATTTTCATTAATTTTATATAATTTTAACTTATTATAATAACAAATTACATATATGTGTATACTAGCACTTGCGAATCTTTACTGTAAAATACTGTTAATCTTAGATCAAACAAAAAATTCGTGTTATTTGCACTTATCTATTGTACGAGGATTTAAGAAACGTAAACGTAAATTAAATTATTTTGAACCAAATTACTAAATGCTTACTTAATTTTATTTTACTAAATCTATTTTTTTAAAATCTATATATTTTCATACATACTATAAAATTGTTTTGTATTGCTTATAATTTTTTTATATATAAATCGTGGTGCTTCCGTAGAGTACAGCAAATCGATGTGATTGAATCCACGCAGTTCATTTAGTGTGTATTGTGTGTTCTTGAGTTGTTGTGTTAGTAAGATAACATCCTAGGAGAAGTGAAAATCAATATTAATAATTGTTTTATTTATATGTTTCTAGATATATGTATTTAAATTAAAAGTTAAAAAGATGCCAAAAATATTTTTTATATTTTTTTATTTTCAAACGAATTTCATACATTAAAAACTAGTATTTAATAAACTATGCTATACAATATCTGCTCGGATTCTGCGATTGTCAGGTAATCTAATATACGTACATTAAAATGAATTAGGTCTGCTGTCTTGAAACAATACATCTCAAAGGCCCCAGTGCAAGACAACATTACACAAGCAAGTTGGTAAACTTTAGTTCGTGGATACGATAAATAATTAGTAAGCAGATATTCTCTATCTTTACAACAGATACGTGGTAAGTTTTACTAAAATGTATCTATGTTATATAATCTTGTTTTAAATATCAATCTATTGAGCTCAATAAATTCAAGTAATTTAGTTATCAAATACTAATTAATATAAAACTTACTAATTCAATTGCTAACTGTCTGGAATAGCATTGCACACATTTTTTTATATAGATTTAAAGATAACTGATTTAGAAGCTAGTTTCAGTATTTTAATAATTTTCAAGTTAATTTTTTTAAATTCGCTTTGATAGAAGATTTAAATTAAATTCTGTTTATACAAACATTTTTGCATAAAATAAACTTTCGTAGAACGAATGTCTTTCATTAAACATACGACGATGGCAACACTGTGTTTTACACTTTAATTTGTTTTGTTTATATTGTGTTCCATTCCAGTACGTTCCACATTTTATACAGCGAGTTTCACACATTTCAAGTGGTAATGAAACTATAAAATTTTCGTTAAGTATCCTGTATATAAAACAATAAACTAAATTAATTTAAATTTGTTGTAATAGTAAAGTTTAAATGTGGTAATGCGAATTTGTAAGTACTATTCAAGTACCACACAAAGTTCTGACTAGAATTCTTTCGCATTGTTATGCACATAATACATAGTGGATAGTTCTTAATGTAGACCATTTATAGAATATATAAGGATACAGCGGCAAGCGATATTGTTATTAAATTATGCATTGAACTATAAAACTATAAAAGTTAAATTAGTTTTGTAATAAGAAAAGTTTCAAGTTTTGCAGCTTGAAAAGTTTAATAAAAATTTTAATAAAAGAAAAATTAATTATTTTATTAAAATAAATGCAGTAAAATGCATATTTAAGCAGAAAATTTAAATAATTTGCTATTTCTATCCAACTTTTATGTCTAAATGATGTAGTTTGCATGTAAAAGAAAAATCAACCCAAAAAGATGCGGTCAATAATTTATTAATGAAACTAGAAATGCCATTTTTTTGTAATATATTATGTATATATTATATATAAAACAAAGGTATATATTTTCTATTATTAAATTATTTTTATTTCATTATTTTTTGTTAAGTAACAAGATTTTAATTAATTAGAACTTAGAGATGACATCCATCACTTTGTCCCAGAACAAGTTATAAAGATGTTTACCTTAAATGAGGGGTTATTTCTTCTTTAACCCCAGTAGGACGGGATAGATAACTTTTGCACTTTCCAATTGCAATAACTTTTTTGCCTATACCGCAGCGGCCTGAAATTTTAAAAGTTCTCTACACTATTGCTCTAGATGATATTCTTGAAATTTTAGAAAAAAATTGGGACAATTTGTAAAGGGTAGGCGTTTGATTCATCACAAGCCGGCTTGGAGGGTACATATTGTGTAAATTTAGTACGACCTCTGAATAGAAAAATAATTGTTCGTCGACAGTTATGCAGTCATATGGTTCGTAAGCTTTTTTCAAATTTCTGTTCAATATTGTTCAGATGTTCGTGTTGGTGTAGGTTTATCTCTTCTCATATATTCTGCACTTGTGTTTTCATTATCAAATGGAATAAATCTTAACATCATCGTGAAGCGGTCAGGAGACAGTGCTGCTCGCGTGAGAAGCAGCGCCTCAGCCTTCCACATGTCTCCTACATTAGTTTTGTATCTGTATCTCACCAGTTGAAGTGAATTGTTGAGGGACTTTTTGTGGTGGACTGTTCACATATACGTATTTTCATGTCAGTTTGCATTTACATATGGCGAATTTTATGAATACTGTTATATGTGGAGAATAAAAACCTATAATTTTCACATCGAAAAATGCGCAATAACGGTTTTTAAACTGCCTAGCAAGTGTAATTACAAACTAGGACTTAAAAAACCAACTACTTTTATTTATTTATCAAAAAAAGTTGGATAGGAGAAGATTTTTCATACTTTCTCCGTCACCTCTTAACGTTGTAAAGTTTCCACGTCCGAGAAGGGTTTGAAAGTTATTAATAAATTAGTGACCGTTTTTTTTAATTTTATATGCAAATTGTATTATTTGAACATAAAAGTGGGATTGAAATAGCATATTATTTAAATTTTCTACTTAAAAATGCTTTTTACTGCATTAATTTCGATAAAATAATCAATTTTTCCTTCATTCAAATATATTACATCGTTCAAGCACTCCAAAATGTTCCAATTCCGTTTTGGACTTATTATCGTCGCTATCTTCACGCACATCATTTGAATATTGAAACGAAAATGTAACGGCAAACATAAGAATTAATTTAGTTTTTCTGTCACAAATATTGTTCTGTTTTTCTGTGCAAACAGTTCGGAATTCAGATTAAATTAATTATTCATTTTTTGGTTAAGAAGAGAAAGAAATAGCAATAGTTTGCGTAAAAGAGACAATGTATATGTTTATTGTTGTAAATCAGCTAACGTTGATATAACATTAAAAGGAAAGCAAACAAAAATAAAGTTTGCAGTTTCACATATATTATAATTATTTATAGTATTGTATGTTTAGACTATTGTATTTTACTCGATAAATAAATAGCAATTTGTGCCATTTTAAATAAAAAATTTAAAAACATGAATATAAAAATATGTTAGAAGGGTTTGGTAAGACTAAGTGAAAACATTAAAATAGTTATTTGATCACTTAATTGGCCATAGTAACAAGTTATTGACGTTTGGTGTGACACAATACTACTATCCAGGCACTTCTGTTGCGTTCGAGCCTTTTCCAGTTCGTGTTTTCTCAAGTTGATCACTCCACCGAAGACACGATCTACCTTTATGCCTTCCTCCTCCAGCTGCCGCTTCAAACACTTTTTTGTTGAAACATCGTTATCCATTTTCATGACATCACCAAACCAGTGAAGCCGCTGGATGTTAATTTCCTATATTTTGTCATTGTTATAATAAGGCCATTGCAGCTCATGGTTCATTCGGATGTAGTAGTCTTCAGTAACTTGTAGAGTATCACTGTGTCTTCTTCGTTTTGTAATAGCGTCAATGCTTCTGTGCTATACACCAGCACAGGTAGAAGGAGTCACCTATAGAACGTGAGTTTTGTTGGCTGAGAGAGAGAGCTTTATATCCCAATTTTTTACTCAGTCTGTCCGAGCGACATACACTTTTACCAGTAGCCGATCGGTTTTGCCCTCAATCACCGCAGAATAGGCATCAGAAACATCTCACATGCTATGCCCAATGATGTCGATGTCATAATTGTTCTAGACACCTCTGTAGAATATTGCACCATTACGATGAACCTGCCATGAGCATGATTATTAAATTTCAACAGGTCACATAATAAGGGTTCAACTTGTCTGGCGATTGCATGGTATCAAAAAATTCAGAAAGACTCGACTCTACCTTAATGGATGGGTGCAGAGATGCTTTATAGTGGACAAAAAAAAATGGTGGGTATCGATGTTGTGTTCGTGGCCTTTTTCTAGCATTTGTCGCAGTGTGAACATTTGGTAAATGGTAGAGCAACCAGATAGAAAGTCGCATTGATGAGACCCAATCAGTAAGTTGGCACTTGGGTTCAACCTTTCACACAATACAGTTGAAACAACCTTGTACCCGACAAGTATTAGGTTCGGTTCGCGATAGTTGGCGCATATCGTCGGGTAGCCTTTCCTCAAAATAGTACAGATGGTACTGAGATTTCAAGATGTCTTTCGTTATCGCAGCTTACCGACGTCGTTTTTTCTGTCTACGGAAGTGTAGATGGTGATGGTGGTATTTCGGCTCATCCATACGGCGGCGACAAGGTAGTGGTCTGAGTCGATATTTGGACCACGGAATGCACGTACGTACAGCACACTTGAAGCGTGCATTACGGCAATCGTGAAATGATTAATCTGGATCGGTGATGATTCATCACGAGAGAGCCACGTTGTCTTATGATAATCTGGCTAGCAGAGTGTGTGAGTTATAACAATTATTTTTGAAAAATATAATATAAAACAAATTTAATTATTATTCTTTGAGTTTTATTTTAAAAGGTATATATACATATATATATATATATATATATAGCGTGTGTAAAATTAAGGATGAAAGTTAAATTAGCTATTTTTAAGTAAGATTTCAGACAAGTTTTTGGTGCTGTATTTTTTCTTGAAAATTGGTGAAATAATTATTATAGTATTTTCGGCCCCTGCCGCAGAATTCTTTCGTAATGAGTCGTTTAGTGCGATGAACCTATCTTAATAAAAAAAATTGATTAATAAATAGTGTAGTAGATCAGGAAATGCGATTAATTGCTGCTCAATTAGTGAGGTAAGAACAACAATTCGTTAATTGTGTGAACGCTCACTGTAAGAGGATTCATTTTCTTACATAAATGTCTTCTACTGTGTTAATTTTTGTTGTTTCTAATTAAAACTTTTTAAACTAAATGGTTGAATGAATAATAAATTTATTGCATATTTATTTAAAATTCATATAAAAAATACTTATTTTTCCTTTTAAAATATTTTCAATTCATTTCGGAGAAAAAGCTTCAATTTCAGTAAAGTTAAATTATCTTTCAAACTTAAACTTTTTACCTCTAAAACAAACCGCTTAACACATCTTTTTCAATATTTACACATTGGCATAAAGAAAATTGAAGTTTAAAGTGAAGAATCATAGTTGGCCAATTACTTAGTGTTGTTGCTAACTTTATTGACTTCCTAATTTCTCGCTTGATTGGGTGCTAGCGCCGCTCGATCGAAACTTGAAAGTAAGTGGGGAATGACGTACTTGTATATGTTACATTTTCAAAGTAAGTTAGTTAACTCAAATATGCTAAAACTTACAAATCTAAAAGTTTGCCCCAATTTACAACCTCTTTATTTCACCTAACCAGATGATTGACTCACCTGCTTCGCCATCAGTAAATCACGGCTGCCATAGAATAACTGCAGCGGCACACGTACATTCCTCAAATTGTACTCCGGCGGAGTTTTGCGCTTGTAGTGACGATAGTTTTCTGCTTTCGATTTGTAATCGAACTGTTGGAACTTGCCTTAAATTTCAAGAAAAACAAGAAAAATAGGTATAGATATAGATGTAGATATCCGAAGACTATTTTTACCTGAAATTATAAGTTGGGAAAAATGTTGAAACTGCTTTCGTGATATCCCTGCCGGAGTCGTCTCAAATATTCGTGGGAAGAGTGCCTTAAAATATTGCGTATCCATTAGATGATGTTGAGCATTTGTTTTAATTATTAATTTATATTGTCACTTATTTGTTTTGTTTAAGTAAGATACTTAATAGTTAGTAGTGGTGGCTATTGAGCTACATTCTCAAGTTAGAAAATGATAAGTGGTGAGAAGCGATTAAAATGACCTACTTAATCGAAATTTGTTTACCTTAAGAACCTTATAACCAGTTGGTTCTTAGATTGTCAAAATTGATAACTTTCGTGAAGACCACAACAGTGGCAATTATTTATTCATTGTCAATTACGAGTAAAGTAATGGTAGTGATTTTCCGAATAGAAAATAGACTAATAGTGAGAAAATTTAAAAGGAAACCAACGTAATCAAATTTCGAATTTTGCCAATTTTAGTTCTCTTGTAAAACCACAGAACTTATGTATTATTATAGGTGCAGAAGAGGTGCACTAAGTTAGTACCTATTAAGAGACTTGAAGTAGGCTTAATAAGTTGGAAGTATAGATTACATATCAAGATTGAAATATATATATCGAAGATATACATTTCCAGGTTGAGTCCTGTTCGGATTTTGTAATTTCAAAATCGCACATGACAAATCCGTTTGTTTGATAAATTTTTTTCAGTCTTTGGAAAAAAGCAATGATTATAATCAAACAAACACAGTACGGACTTGACAGCATTATGCGAGTGTTAATATAATCATTACTGAATTCATTACCTGAATTTGCCTGCGAAGAATATTAGGTGGATTGGATCGAGAGTTGACGGTGTTTATTGCACACGATATGAATCACTTTACGGATGATAAAAATAATTTTGATAACATGATATTTCAATAATTCTGGATAGTTTCTACACTGCACACTTAAAACGGATGATCAAACCTTCAAAGATATTGTGATTGGAATCTTTATATTGTTAACTTTTATCAAAGAAGTGGCGTATTCCACTCTTGGACGTGAGGGTTTATGAAATGTATTAATGTATAATTTTTTCTAAAAATAATTGTAAAAAAAATGGATCTATTTTTTCAATTGAAACTTACAAAGTTTTGAAACTTCTGATGTCGTTTTTTGACATCCTCCTCTTTTACTAATACAAAGTGCGTCGTTTAAAACACAATCGTTGTGTGACTGCCATTACGCATTAAAATATCTAACAAATTTCCACTGGAAAAGCCAATAAAAAACGAGAAAAACTAAAATGCTTTACGAAAAGTAGAATATCCTTAAAGGTTTGCCAGGATTTTTGATAGTATTTTATTGGTGCATTTAAGCTTTTGACGAGCATATAGGAAACAAACACTGCCCGCAAGCAGCAGAGTTTTGCATATTTACGAGGGAGTCCATGTGGAGTTTTATATTCGATATTTGTTTAGCTGCAGTTTTCTGTTTATTATTTCTATACAAAAACTTTTGCTGTTTACTTTTTGAATAAAAAATTGAAGTAAAAACGCAAATAATAGGGAATCCATATAACGATGACAACAAACGACGAACAACGATTTTTCACTTTTTTCTAAAGAATTTCGAACGCAATGCTGGTTGCTTTTGGTTAGTTCCCTCCAGATCCTTCCGAGAGTGTGTATAAGTGTGAGTTAAGTGTAGGAGCGAGCGCGAGCGTGAACGCCTGCATATGCATATGAACTCGGAATTGTGTTTATGTGCGCCATTGTGTAAACACAAGTAAATAAACAAGCAGATAACCGGAAATGGAAACGGAAATGTGCAACGAATACTTCTGCTGTTATTATAGCAATGTAAATATCCCAGTTTTTTCCTTCTACATGCACTCCTTACTTTTTATTTGTAATTTATTTCTCAATAGAAGCTCATTATCCAATATAAAACTCATCTCAAAGCTGATTGCAAATTATTTAAATTTAAATTTAAAGTTAGATAGAATCTAATTCACATGATTTTATGATCGAGCAATATCTGAATGTGTGCTGATGTGCATGTGTGCTACTGTGCATCCTTGCCCATGTACATTTCACTGTTGCTTGCATCCAAATTATTAACATTTTGCATATTTCGACAGTCATTGCCTCAGAGTTGTCGTTAGGTTACTCACAAGCCGAAACGCAATACTTTTGCCTAGCTGCACTTTGATCCAAGCACACATACGACTTGCTATGGTACTAAGGATGTGGTTGTTATTATATTTTAGTTACAATTTATAGTCAAGTTATATATTTTAAATTTTGCATAAAAGTTACAAAAAGTTTAGAACTCAATTTTTATTTCTGCAGCTTTTACATATTTTAATTAGCATAACACATCGAGAACACATATCCACTAAATCAGAAACTAATGAACATAACATTGTGTTTAAAACATTTTTCTTTTAGTAATACCGCAATGATTATATATTTCACTGGACGGAAAGGACAGAAAAAAAATGGTTGCAAGCATTAGTGAATTAGCTAGATATGAAAAAAAGTCTGTTGCCAATACCTTTTTTGCGAATATAATCACAAATAAGCAGCTGACATTATGACTGTTCGAAGAGGACCCTGCAGAAATGTACATAGTCTTTAAACATATTCATATACAATCATGTATAGGTAATGATGTTACAAACACATTACAAGATCTCATTGATATTCTAATCTCTGAATGGTTAGTTCAGATTAAGCAATACAAGATAAATCCGAAGGTAAACTCGAAGGCAACTTCCATGTACTTCAATTAGTCATTTGTCGTGGTTTTGCTACCAAATTCCTCGAATTTAGATGAACACTCTGATAAAGTATCAAAGAAGTAACTTCCTATGAACCTAAATCTTCTGGATGCCAAAGCCGGGCATTTACAGAGAAAATGTATTAGGGTTCCTTTTTCCTGTGGACTTCCACAACTTCTGCATTGAGGATTATAAGAAATGCGCAGTTTCTCTGGGTGTGGTCCTATACACCAATGACCAGGAAGAAAGGCAGTAAGTTTTGCAGTGTTCACGCGGTCTCTTTTGATGAGTTCTAAGGATTTGTTTTTATTATAGGTGGGCCATGTTAACCATGTTAATTTGTTATTTGCAAATTGCAGGAAGTAGAGGAAGGTACTTCTGTTAATGGTCTCTAGAATAATATAAACTGTTACCGCCAGTGACACATCCACGGAAGCACCAGAGCGGGCTAAAGTTCCAGCTTTCTCGTTCCTTTCGATGTTCCTATGTCCAGAAACCCAGATGAGGATGATATCAGCCAACCAATTTAACTCGTCGATTGCTTCTCTACATTTCTTTACTATCTTTGACTTTGTTATGAAAGTTTCAAGGGCTTTGATTGCTGCCTGGCTGTTAATGACTTGCAATTTGCGGACAGGTTTCAGTAATTGTTACGATTTCAGCTTGAAAAACCGTAGCCTCATTAGGTAGCCTAAGAGAATTATTTATGTTTTCAGATGGTGTGAAGTTCAGATGGGTTTATTATGGACATTTATTCTGTGATATTACAATGGAAAGTAACTTGTTGTACAGAGTAGTCTGCGACCAATAGTTATTAGTCATTTATATTAGAAAAAGTAGAAGATATCAAAAATATTCGATTATATTAATAATATTGTTTAATATACAATTATAATTTTTGTTTAAAATGCAAAAAAGGAGAAAAGTTATTTACATTGTGACCGAAAAGTTTTCGGAAATTCTCATTTAAAATTCGCGCGCTGTATATTTTTCGATATTTTAAGTTTATGTAGTTTGGCAGCACTGTCCTTAATTACTATGCCAAAAATGAGCGCGATCTGTCAGACAGTTCGTTTACGGCAGCTGTTGAAACCAGTTCACCTCAGTAGTGCGTTGCGAAAAAAACAATGGAAAAAAATATTGATCAAAGAGTTTGCATCAAATTTTGTGTTTCGAACGAATTTTCGTGTGCAGAATCGTTGCGAATGCTACAAAAGGCTTATGGGGAATCAGTTTTATCGAAAACTCAAGTTTATGAGTGGTACAAAGCCTTTCAGGACTGTCGTACGACCGTCGAAGACATGCCGCGTTCTGGACGACCTTCGACCTCTACCACCGACGAAAACATTGAAAAGGCAAAGGAAATCGTGTTCAAAAATCCTCATGTGAGTGTTAGAGAGATAGCACGAGAGCTAGGCATCGGTCGTGAGATGGCTCGTTTGATTTTGGTGGACAATTTGTGTATGCGACGTGTCAACGCTCGGCTTTTTCCGATTCACCTCAATTTGTTCCAAAAACACCATCGTGGACAGGTCTCGTTAGACATGCTTGATCGTGCCAATTCCGATCCAACTTTCATGGAACGCATCATAACGGGTGACGAGACATGGGTCTACGAGTACGACATGCAAACAAGCCAACAATCATCGGAATGGAGAGGAAAAGACGAGCCGAAACCGAAAAAACCACGCCAAAGTCGCTCGAAAATCAAGGCAATGCTGATTGTTTTCTTCGATATTCGTGGTGTGGTGCATCATGAATTCGTCCCTGAAGGACAAACAGTCAATAAAGACTATTATTTGACTGTTTTAAGACGTTTGCGTGAAAATATCCGCCGTAAACGGCCTCAATTGTGGAAGGATAATTCATGGATTTTTCATGACGATAATGCTCCCTCGCACCGAGCCAACATTATCAACGATTTTAAGGCCAAACATTCAATAAATACCATCGAACAGCCACCGTATTCACCTGATCTTGCACCGTGTGACTTTTTCCTGTTTCCCAAACTCAAATTACCACTCAGAGGAACGCGTTTTGAATCCATAGAAGACGTAAAACAGAATTCGCAGAGGGAACTCAAAGCCATACCGGAAAGCGCCTATAAAAAATGTTTTGATGATTGGAAGAAACGTTTGCATTTGTGTATCGCTTCTAATGGAGCATATTTTGAAGGAGATAAAATAAATATTGATGAAGATTAAGAATTTTGCGTTTTATTTAAAATTTCCGGAAACTTGAAATGCCATAAATTTGATTTAATCGAATTTTCTGAAGGCTCCAATGTGGCGTACATGGATGGCATAAGTTCCAATGATATAACATGAAATTTGATTTTTTAATTAACACCCACACGCAGTGAAGTAGAGTAAATTCTAAATTAAATTTTGTTTATTTATTAAAATATTGAATTTCTCGTACACATGAAAAAAGTAATATCTGCTTTAAATAAACATAATTAAGCAGAGATTAAATTTTAATAAAATTTGTTGAATTGAACATTTATATGAAATGATAAATAATAATGTATAAATTGTAGAATTTATAAAATTTTTGTATCGGTTTATAATGAAATTTATAACTAAATCCTTTTTAAAAATTCAGAACACTTGCGTAGCCGAAGCTCAAGCAATGAAACTTGTGTTGCCGATTTAGCACAAAAGGTGCCACCTTTTTTCAAAGTTATTATTCGATTTATTTTGTTTAAGGCGCACAAAGCCCACATGAGCGCAATAACAATTGCCCTAAAACGGCATTGGAGGCGACCAATTTCGACAAATTTTTATATGAGAAATGTTTGCAAGTCGATGCGTTGACACAGGTACTCCGTTAATACTGACACACGCCCATCTCTTTAACAATAACTTTTACAACCTCAACATTCAGCAACATTCCCGGTAGTGCATTTAAACTCTCACTTCCAGAGCACATATTGTCGAGCCATTTTCCACTTTTATTGTTACACACTTCAAATGAATTGTAGCCCAAATCATCTAACAAATTACGGAAGCACCGTTAAATACATACGAGCAGAGCAAGATACACCCACATGTGCCTACAGGCGCATGTAACACTCGTTGTTGTTTATGAGACCTATTGCTCTTTTATACATATGGGGCCGTAAATTTCTAATAAGTATGGCATTCTAATGTCGTCATAATACCTGCTGAAAGTGGCAACAACTTTACGGTCATGTAAGCAAGTCACCTTGCTTACATCTTTTATTCGCTCGCCTTACAGTTGCGCCTTCTTTACTCCTTCAGCTTTATTTGATCTTAGCTTCGCATCATGTATCCTGTTTTTATTTAACTTTTTTGAGTGATTTTCCAGCTTCGGCAGCTTATTCTCGCCTTAAGGAGCACAAATTCGTGCATAAAACATTTGTGCATATGCTTAACAGTTAGTTAGTGTAGCGATGTTCTCGTTTCCGTTTCCGTTTCCGTATCCACACTCCCACTTTATTGCAATAAAATAAAAATAAGTATATCTGAAAAGAATGTTGCAAATAGGATTTGCCTCAACAGAAGTAAAATATGTTTTTGTACTTTTCTATCTAATTTTTTTCTACTTTCGAATTTTCGACTAACTCAGCTTAACTCCCCAGTGTACATTTTCTATTGTTCCGTGCTGCCATTTATTTTTGTGCCAAAGTGTCGCTTTCGTTTTCCAACGACCTCGTAAAGTACTTAAGTAGTGTTTTTTGGTCGGAGCTTAGCATTGTTTGGCATAAAAGTAAAATTTATGTGATTTCTCTACTTGCCACTTGATACTATTCCTTTACTTTATTTACGTAATTTACGACACTGCCACACTTCACCGATGAGGTGTGCAGTGCTGTTCCGTGCTGTTCCGTGCTGTTCCGAGCTGTTCCGTGCTGCTTTATTTGCATTAGAAAATGAATTTTCCAATTTTAACGGCATTACAAAATGTTCCAAATGTACATTAGTGCAGATAGCTGAACCCCTTTCCTTTGCTCTACTCTACATTTTTTATGCTGTGGCTAATGACAATTTTATGTTTAAATTTAGTACAGGAGATTGAAGCTATTCTAAGCCAAATAGAAAAATAAGCTTATAATGTCGTAATGGTTTTTCGCTTTCCTATACGTATTAAATTGAACATTAAAGAAAATTAATAAACACCAAACTAACCAGATTTTAATTGAATATCATTCTTATATCGCGTAAGCGAACAAAATTTCTGATCGAGTACGAATGATAACTCGAATCTGATGCGCTCTTTTAGCAAAATGCTTGCTTGTGATTGCAATTGCTTACCGAACTTGTCGCGGAACTCTCATAGGTAGAGCATAAATTCACAACCAAAACATACGATGCGCTTTTTTCCTCGAAAGATGAGGTACCTGCTGCAACAACTCAGGAATAAGTTATGAACAGCTTGTCGATTTTGAAAGCAGAAGAGCAATAATTTTTGATAATATTAACACCACCACTATGGGTCAGGTTAGTTAGGGTAATATTACAAGGGCTTCTACGATGGGCAGTGAAAATCAAAGTAATTCTACCACATCTCTTATCAAGAAAAAAAAATGCAATAGTAGAAAGTTATTACCGATAGAAAAGGCAACCAGATCTTTTGGAGTACGAGCAGTCTTCTCAACGACTCGGGTTCTTCTTTTTCACCGAGTACGACCCATAAGGCTAGAGAATAACGTGATATGTGTACAAGCAAGGAGAACAGCAGACTCGTTAATCCTCATACGATACGAATAAAGTATCGTCAGGAAAGAAAATTAAATCGTTTACCAAAGATAATATCGATAATCAAAATGAATCTCTAGTCAGGAAAAAACTGAGAACAGAAAAGCTATTTGCACTCTAAGCAATACTCAGAAGAATGGTGTGAACTACGCTCTAGAGGTTAGGCAAGTGAACAAAAAATTGAACAGCTTGCTCGTAAAAATATATTTTCTTAAAAACTTTTTTTTTCCTACAATCTAATTTTTTGGTTCTAATTTGGAATAAAAGAACAAGAATACTTTTTTGCGTTGAGAGCTCGTCAGGTGACTTCCAAGCCAATACTTTTCAGATACTTATAGTAGGATATAAAGTACTTACTGTTCTTCAAGTGATTATGTTTGGTTAGGCACGGACTGTTGATTGTCGTGATGGCACGGATGAAAAAGGGGAATGCCAGACCTGAGGAATCACTTTAAAGGTATAAGTTCAAGCATTTAGCGTGTGAATAGAATTCCTTTACGAAGGCATGACATTTCGAAATCTTTTTTATGAATTCATTATTATGTTTCAAAAGGTTATATTTAATAATTATCATGTTCGAACACAAACCTCTAATACGATTTCCTTATTTTGTTGACGTAAAGTTATAATTTAATTTTTAAGTATCTGTTAAGTTGTAAAGTATTTTCATAAATCTTTCCTATTTGAACATTTCTCTTATCAATGCGATTCTTTCCCCATTTCCCCATTTCCCCAATTAAAAAATTTAAACAATTTTTAATCCAACTTCTGAGTTTAGCAAAGCACAATTTTGAAACTGAAATTTTTCAGGTCGATTTGCCGAAGCCAATTAAGAAAGTTTTTGGAAATATATATTCTCAAGCATCAAAATATGAAAGTTTCAAAGTGCCTCTAACGACTTTCTAGGTATGTTTAAGTTTTTATATGAAATTTACTTTCCTTGTAAATTCTTGCTAGTGGTAAGCATAAAAGTTTGTGACACTGTAATGTCTGATGCCAACTCGGAGCGGTACATATCCAGACATAAGCACTTCAAAATAAAAAGTAATATTTCCCCAAAAAATATGTAACACTAACACTTTTTACCGTGTATCGCGCATCACTAACATTATGTGGAGCACCAGAGATAACCCCTTCCGCACCTTTCCCTTCCCCTTTCCCTTCTCCCTTTACTTTCAACGCACAAATATGCAAATTTAAATAACTTCTATGGGATGTTGCGAAAAAATAAGAACACTTCGAGTAAGTGGAGCAAAAGTGGAAAAAAGAATCCACTCAGGAGTGCAATAAAAACTTTTGCTACTTTTTAATGTTTTAAAATAAAAATTGAACATAACAAAAGTAAGAGTATCCTCGTAATATCCCACAAAACAAAAAACAACCAAAAATTTCCAAAAAAAAAAGAAGAAATTAAATGCAAATAAAATAAATTTTCAACTCACCCGATCCATTTCGTAGTCACTGAAACCGACGGCCAAAAACGTAGTCAGCAGGCACAGGTTTTGTGTAGGTGCATCGCTGCCACATAGCAGATGTCCGCCCAGCTGAGTTAGGGCAGTCGATGGAAAAAGTTCGTGTAATCCCAGATGATTTAGGAGCGCCTATAAGCAGCCATTTCAGTGGCATAGTAAGTGCAGCAATATCAGCGTTCGAATCGGCGTGAGCAGCAATGGTTATCATATCAATAACACCGAGAGCAGCGACATGAGCAGTGGCAATGGCATCAGAGTCAGCGGAAGCAGCGCAGTCAGGATCAGCAACAACAGCAGTTGCAATTGTTTCGAAAAATGTGAGCATTTGTGCGCGAATAAAATTCAAATTCAAATTCAAATTCGAGTTTAAGCGCAAAGTTGTTTGTACACACATGAAAAGCGGAAACGGATATAAATATATATATGCTGTATAAATAAATTTACAAAGTGTAAAGCGGTGTTGTGTGGGCGTCCTATGCTGTCCCGTCGGTTAGTTTGTAGGTGCGCCCAACTGAGTTTGGCTGATTTATGCATGTATGTAAATTGCTTTAAAATTGGTGTTAAGTGTGAAATTGCATGGAAAAGGTAAAATGCAGAAGAGCTTAGCAATGAGTTATTTCAGGGATTTCATATACGTTTAATCTTTTTTAAATAATTTTTTTTTTTAAAAACTTATATTTCTACTTGAAACTTAAATAAATTCAAAGCAACTAGGGATTTCACTTAAAAATAAATTTTTATTATTTGGTTTTGGTATTTAAAGTTCACTTTGAAACAATTTTAAATCTCAAATCCAGAGCATTATAAATACCTCACTATGACATTGATTATGCACATATCAACTTTATTTATACCTATAATAAGTATGTATAATAAAGGAAGGATCAACGGTTTGCAGAAATTTCTATGGAAGACGGCTCTACTTAACTGTTTATAAGTCTCAATCTCACCTCAATGAATTTCCCATAGAGACATTACTCTTATAGTTAAGAACTCAAAACACGTGCTAATAGTGTTCCCGGGATTAATGCACCTAGGTGGGTATCTCATATTGGGTAAAGAAATAAAACTCTGTGATGCAGGTTCAAGACTACAAAATGAAATTAGACTTTGAGAAATAGTTTTTGAATGAGGTACAATATGAATAGAATTTGCAGTGCAAATTTTCCCCAAAATAATAATAATATCGGGATTTCTAATAGTTGACTGTATGTTAAAAAACCAAGCGAAGAGAATAAATATTTCCTTAAATGAGCTTTAGTATTGTGTTCGCGTATAGGTAATAGAATTTTAGGAGAAGCTCAAGGCACTGCACAGTTTTCATTTAAAGTTTTAAGCTCTCTGAATTTTAAATTGCACCCAGAAGGTTGCAAGGTTTTAGAATTTGTGCGGGCACATTTTATAATCGGTATCTATTACTTAAAACCTTTTATTTTTTCACTTTAAGACATCTACAAAATTTTACAAATGTTACACGATATTAGCAAAATGTCATCCGTTTAGGATATCATACATAATTAAAAAAGATATACTTTAAATAAATATCATGTAGTTATCATTATTACTCTGAATAGAGTATTTGGTATATTAATAAACAAACTTAGGCCTATATATAGTATATTGTAGTAGGTACAGATAAAAATTAGTTAACTACTCAATTGAACTCATAGAATAAACGTCTGCTGATTTAAAAATTTGATAGCAAAATGTATGTTGATAGTAATCTTGACTATTAACACACTTAAGTATAAGTATATTATGTAGAAATATTGTGTAATTGAACTATATTATAACTAAAATGATATTTTAAAAACTTCAATAAAACGGTCAAACTCAAAGGACTTTACGTTGAATTACAGGTAAAGCCTAAAATTAAATATCTTTAAACATCATTAACCACAGGTTAGTTAAAGAAAACTTCATCCTTGATCCTTTTTTGCTAAAATTTTCCTAATCACCTATCCGCAATGAAGTTAACATTTAGAAAAAGATCGGTAGAATAGCCGTAAGGATTATATCGCTCAAAAGAAGCAACGGTCAGCGGATCAAATTTGGAAGAGAATATCAAAAAAAAAAAAAATAATTAGATAGTCATCATTTATAGGAACGATTATCTTCACATCCACGTCCTTTAGAAACATTCGAAGTCGCTTTTTTTTCATCAATATGGCGGGCTTATAGAAGGTTAGAGCCAAACTTGTCGTTTGAAAAAAGTGGATTCAACAGGGTGAAAGAGTTTGAGATGACTTAACCAATTAAAATTTGCCTGGCAATTAAAGGTTAATATTCGAATATATTTATTAAAATTCTCCGAAATTTAATGGCCACGAGAACAAGCTGTACAGAACGAACTATAAATGCAATGTTTTCAAAAAACTAAACTAAAATTTTCTTTTCAATACAAAATAAACTTCCTGTAGTCCCCAGCTAAGTAAGAAAGGTGTGTAAACTTCTATGAAATTGCATGAAATATGTTAGACTCATATTATACAGAAAACTTTCCTGAAAGTGATACCCCGTATAAATACTGTAGAAGTTGTGCAAAAGATGAAAAAGAAGAAAAATAAAAATATTTTTTTGTGTCTGTTCAGTTCAACCTAGAGCAGTGCGAATTTTTTAAATGAACATGACTTTTGCTCTCTTATAGAAGTGTCCAGCAATATTGAAAATATCTTGCATAATCATGTCCTGTGTTATGCTGTGGTGTCGCATTGGGTATCGGGTTGGTAAACTAACCCAACTGACACAATCATCTAATCTAACCTAATACCACATAAAGTTCAAAATCATTAGGATGACCCAGTAAATCTTCTTTAAATAAATTTCTTATTACGCCATATACACTTATATGTTGCTTGTGTAGGTACTACATATAATTAATATATAACTTTTCATAAATACAAACCTCGATTTTGTCACTTTTCGCGACCATTACTCGCAATGGAGGACTTTGCAAATGCTTTAGGTAGGCAACAGGAGCCAGAAGTGTGGCCGAAGCAAAGCGTTCATTATATTGCGGTCTCTCCGATAATAAAACTAAAAACACGGTGGAACCCTGTGAGTGCGCTACATAGTGTAATTGTTGTTTGCCGCTGACTTTGCTTATATAATCAACAATGGCAGGTAAATCGTAGTAACCAATTTCATGCCAAGTGAAATTCCAAAATTGTGGCATCGATGAATCGAAGTCAATGTGACGTTTTGAGTAAGTGGTGCCGCGCGCATTCGGCAACCAAATATCATAGCCCTGTTCGTGTAGAATACAACCTAGTGAACGCGAACGTCCAGGCAACACGAAATCAGCAGCCGAACCGATTATTCCATGCATTAGCAGAAAAGGCAATAAATGATTTGTGGTGTTGGGATTTTTGGGAGGGATGCGATGTAGCGTCAGTTGATAGCCATCCTCTGTGCGCACTTGATGCGTTTCACAAGTGTAATTATTTGATTCAATTATCTGACAAACTAAATCCTTTCCATTGACGTGTGAAAGGCCGCATGTTATTATTATTAAAGTAAGGAGCGACACTTGCGTTCTTAATTGCATTTTAAATTTTTTATTTATTTTTATTTTATTTATGTTAGGAAGAGCAATTTTAATTTATAGATATTTATAGATACCAATATTAATATTTTCTGTTTATTATTAGATTTTTTAGAATATATTTAGAACATAGTTTTTCTTTGTTTTGTTTTTGTTTATTGCTTTCATTTATATTAATATTTGTAATTAATGAAGTTATATTAAATTCACTTAAAACGCAGACAATAAATTAATTTCATTTCCTACTTCGCTTAACAAGATATATACGCGTATTTAACAGATACTTTGCAAGAAGCCAGTAGGTAACCATTTTCAATATTAAGTCTTCTTCAAATTTACTTCAAAATCTAATAAAGTGGAATTAGGGGAACACAAATAAATCACTTGAAACAACTTATATCCAATAAAATTATTGTACATAATTAAGCAAATAAAAAAATGAAATTAATTGAAAATCGAGGTTAGAACTATTTTTGTGAATAACATTTAAAATTATTTTTAATTTTTGATATTTTTATTTATTTTTTCTTATTGCTTTGTTTGTAACATATTTTTGTTTATTAAAGTATAAGTGAGTTTTTTTTTTTATATAAAAAGTTTGATTGGAAAACATACCATACTTTTAATAAATTCATTAAATCATTAAGAATTGTTATTTATATGTGTAAAAAATTTTCATCTTATAAATCGAAAAACTTTTAATGTCCGTAAATTTCAGTTTTTATTCAATGGCTCAGAATTAATTTATAAATATCACTTGACATTTCTTAGTGTAAATAAGAATGAGTTGATTGTTATTTATATTATGAAAGCAATTATTATAAAAATTCCATTTTTTCTTAATGGATTACCATATATAAACGTTAATGATAAGGATATTTTTATATTTTTTTGGCACTGGACAATTAATGAGAACAAAAAATTAATAAAAAAAATATTAAAAGAAACCCTAATATAAACTTTTTATTTTATACACATATGTTTTAATTAATATAATGCAAAATTAATAATTCATTAAGATCGTAAATATCCATCTATGCATATATACATACACCAACCAGTAAAACTAAAACAGTTTAAAATTTTTGTTTCTTTTTGCAATGATATTTTTAAATTTATTTGCACACACAATTTTGCAGTTTGCAGTTTGTATTTCAGTTGAAGTTTTAACAAAACAATTCTTCAAGTAATTCTGTTTGATTTTGAATTAACCCGCGTAAATCAATCCAAAACTTTTTTCCGGTATACACACACGACAACCATACGCCGTGCGAAACTGATCGAAAGTGTGTGATAAATGATTCGTACAGCCGGTCAGTTAGCAGCCCTGAGCTTAGCTTTGAGGAATGCTTGCTGCTCATCTGCCGACGCTGCTATGTCGCACAGGTGTGAAAATTGGGAGAGCATTCCCAAATTTTGCCGGCTAATTTTTTGTTTGTTCTCATTTTGATGCACAAATTTTCGTACTCAGGCGGCGTGTGCTTAACGAATTCATAATCACATTGTTGTTATTGTTATTGTTATTGCCCTTCTCGTTGTTGCTGTATTTAGTCTCACTAGTTTTGTCAGAATTGTTTTTGTATTGAGTTTGGCGCTTATTTGATGTGGTCAGTACGCATAAACGTTTATTGCTGTTATGAATTTAGTTTGGGTATGCTTTGTTGGTGTAATGTTGTTGATACTCAGATGTATTGTTGTTTTCATTGTGTTCCATTCATTACTGATGATGCTCAGTTGCCAATAATTTATCAGTAAACATCGTTTAAGCAGTGCATGTTTACATTTGTCTTGGTTTTATTTAGTTTTTGTATTTTGTATTACGTTTATTTGCATATGAAGTTGTTTATTTGCTCATTTTGTAATTTGTTAATTCAGTTAATATTAGCGTCGTAACTGTAGCTGTTGTTGCTTGAATTTTAAAACTGATTGTAATTATTAATTGTTTATAATAAATTTACAATTGCGTTTTGTACATAATTGTTTGAATGATTTTAATAGCACTCGTTTTTATGCATGTCTACCTCGAAAACTGATTTCCTGATCTTAGTATATTAGAATTTTCGAAAAGTATGTCAAAGAAATATAGTATGTGTGTTACGCAAAATATAGAAAGTATAAAATAAGTCTGATATAGAGTCTTATATATTTTCTATCCAGATATACAATGAATCTTTAACCAAATAAAGTCAAACTTCTATAACTCGAATTTTCTATAACTGGAACTACAAAGAGTGCAACAGGGCTATAAAGAACAAATTACACTTCTAAATAGAAATTCGAATTATGGAAGAACCATAACTCGAACTTCTATAACTCAAATAAAAATATTGTCACGTGCCAATTGAAATAAGTAAAAGTGCATTCTATAAAATGAATTTTTCTTTTTAAGTATGAATTCATTTTGGTGTTAGGGGAAATCCCTTTTTCCAAACCAATGAAATTGTTTATCAGTCTTCCAAGAATGAAGTAGAAGACTCATTCAAAATTTTAATTTTTTATTTACAAACGAATGATACTACAACTGATGATCACGATAAGGCTTGCAAAAAATTGGAATCTCTTTTTACTGATCTCGATGAATTGAACTAACTGTCCTCTTTATGAATCATTCATTTATTAACTAAGTCCGACTGTAGCTAGAATTTAACTTAAAAAGTCTTTTAGATATTTTCTCATAATATAAAAAAAAATGTATCTCTAATAGGATAATATATATGCTGATATATTATGGTAATAATGAATATATATATAAATAAATATAGTTCTTCGATTTGTTTTGGGGTGGGGTTGCTTCAACCACTGAAGTCGCCCTACTACTCCCTGCTACTTGCTTGACAGTCATGTTAAGTAGACAGTTATATGAATAAGAAGAATAATAGCGTCAGTCTCACGTTTCCTTTGGATATGAAGATTGTAATGACCTTTGTCGGACCTTTTCAAGGCTGGGATATACTCAGACTATACCAGAGTTCAACACAAGACTTAAAAGATTATAGATAATAAAATATAATAGATATAGATAATAGATATTACAATATTTAAATTTAAGCACTTTAAATAAAAAACTAAAATATTTACTCTTGATATGCAGCTCTAGTTTAGAAGTATGACTAAGTGTCGACGTAATCCAAAAGATTTCCTAAAGATATATATATACGCACTGCCTATTAATTTAAAATTTTAATAAAATGAAATACTGTTTATTATTATGTATATTAGTTTTATTTGTATTAGTCTCTCCCTTACTTAAACTATATATATGATTTAATTAACTTTTATAATTACTTGCATAGATCTTCCAACTGAATAATTTATATTTTGACAGCTATAAATATATCTTCAGCCAATATTATGCAAAAAATTGATTATTAAGTGTTTTTAAATGATTTATAAATATAATATATAATAATATAATATAATATAATATATATATAATATATAATATAATATATATAATATATATATAATATAATATATATAATATATATATAATATAATATAATAATATATTTTGGTAATTTCCAAGCATTATAAACCGTTGCTTCCGTTTTCTGACTTAACAAAAACTCTGTCTGTCGGCGAATGTAGAAGGTCATCGATATTTTATACTAAAGAAACGAATTTCAATTAATAGATTTAAAGCAATACTTTTGTATCTGGTGAATTTGTTTTTTATGTTTTTATATTTTTGCCAATTTTATTTCATAAACTTTTGAAACTGAAACATGTATTAAATTTTTTGATACTGATTTGCATATTTTGGATAAAATCAATGTTAATGATATATGAGTGCTAGTAGCAAATATTATAATTAATTTTTAACATTTCGATCGATTCAATTTTTTTAACAAATCAAACTATTTAAATAACTACAAAGTCGAAAGAAGCGATTAAATTTCATATGTGCCAAATATTAGATATTAATTAACAGTAACAAGCCTTGGCTAAATTAACAATGTTGACTTGACTGGCTTGCAGCTGAATACTCCGAATAATCATAAAAGCAATTTTTTTACTTATTTTCTATAATACGAATATGACAATTTTTTATGAAAATCTTTGTAAGTCAAATATGTATTAGTAGAGACACATAAAGCATATAAATAAAGTCAATATTAGAAGAAGACACGATGAGAAATGCTTTGAAGTCCCAACTTCATTACAAACCTGCTAATAAAAATGACCGTCAAGTCACATTCAGTCGTTCACTGGAGTTTGTTGTTGTGAGTTTGGTTTATGAATTCGCATCTACACTTTCTTTAGTCCCATCAGTCACCTTGAAACATCAAATTACCAACCCCAACGAAGACTTTTTGAGGATACACCAATCAGTTCATTATTTTGGAATTGCTTCCAAGTGTTTTATTAACACTTAACACTTTATTATTAATGATGGATATTCTTAGATCGATTAACATTGCAGAACTATTCCAGAGTGCATGTAGATATTTCTGGAGTTTTCAATGTTCTCTTCACTGACCTACAAAAATTTTGACAAATCTAACTTATTCTTTTTTCATTATGTTTTAGGTTATAATGGATCAAATACAAGACGTCTTTAGAAATAATATCACTGTATTTCATATTTTAATAATAATGCAATTTCTTTACGTACCGTTCCTGACCTGACCTAGATCATCCTGTTTTATTGCAACATAATTTTCTTCCAATATAATAAGTCATAATTTTTGCCATGTCAGTTATACCACATATTATGAAATAAATGCACATAAATTTGCATGGACAAGAGACTCGACCCATTTTTATTGAAGTAAGCTCTTTTTACTCTCGTTGACCTAAAAAATAAGTGTTGTATATAATAAAATATTGTTTAAATGAAAAGAAAACTTTTCACTTACACTCTTTGTACACATCGATGCGTCATCGGTATCGGTCATCCTGAGAGACATATCCACCGTCGCATAATTTTTTGATGTACTCGCATCTCTGAAGGTCATTAATATTATGGGTTTTCTTGCAAACATTTAATATCACGTTTTTTG